TTGAGCAAGACAGGTCTCGGGCAATCCGATGTTTGGGTACTTGATCTGATGGTTTTGAGATATCGATGCTCGGGCTACGTAGGTATGCTGAGGCCTACACAGGCGCTTGGAAATGGACAGGATATTCTTACCCACGCCCAGCTCCCGTTCGACATGATGGCTGGCTGAGCAGGTACAACAGTATGAGTGGCTGATGCATTGCTGACATACTTTTACTCTGGGGTATTTACGGTGCAAGATCCGAGGACACCCACTGCTGGGCGACTTTGTATTGGGTATAGCTAACATCACTATCACCACAAAGCACGAATGTGAAACGGGCCGAAGATGTGAGTGATTTTTGGTTTGTTTGTTGATGTTGATGTCGTCTTTTGTTTCCGCTGTGAGACCCCAGCTGAAGCAAGGCTCCCCATCGTCGTCGATATTGTTTTGCGTGGCACATAACGGCAAAGCGACACAGGGACAGAGATAGGAGAGAGGCTGTGTAACGCCCATGAAGCGAGGTGAGCGTGGGGGTTAGATTTCTGGACAGGCAAGGCTTTTTGGACATTGTCTCATGTGTGCTGACCATGTCGTGATTTTGGTGTACCTGCCTTAGATGGGTTGTCTGACCGAGTAAGAAAGCAGTACACGTGTATTCAAGTACAGAAGCAGGTGATGACACTTGGGAGAAGGTGCGTGATGATATTGTTGGTGTTTGTGTGTTTTGGTACTGGATGCGTGGCCTCCTTCTATCCTGTTGAGGTGATCAAGATAACGGGCACTGCAAGTTAGCGAAGATGTACGGCCCACGACTTACTCGCAACATAAGAGAGAGAACAGGCTGCCAGCTATCCTGGAGAGCCTATAAATGCGTGGTTTAGGGTGCGCTCTTTTGTTGACTTGCTTTGCAATGCCAGTCAATTTGACCATGACATGGCATGGAAGGTTAGGGAAGGTAGGAAACTGTTTAGAGGTAAGGAAAACCCCAAGATACAGATCATAAAGGGCTGAATTCTACACGAGCATCCCCCTTGAGAGTTTACCGACTTTGAAAAACCAGAAATGGATATTACCTAGAACATTGATGCTTCTCGAAGAGATCGACGTCATTGAAGCCTTGGCGCTGGAATGGCAGCAGAGCAGGGGTCGTTAGCGGCTTGGCACGGTTGGACAAGGGCAAAAAAATTGAACAACGGCGCGCAAAAGATATGCACTGATACAGACATTCAAACGGCTTCTACGGCATCCTCCACGGACGAACAGGGCAGCCACAATGTTGCATTTGGCGAGACAGGCTCGACAGACACTCAAATTACCATTTGTATGCTCAGCATGTCGAACCCTCCTTGCCCAGAGCCCTGCGCCCCGGAGGTATTTGCCAGTAGCCATCAACCATCTTGGTGCAACTCGATGGTATACTGATTCGACAACACCACCACCACCACCACCATCGGCGCCAGCAACCACTACTGAAGATGCTACTCCTCCATCATCCGATCCGCCAGCCGAGAATAACGAAAACCCCGAGGAAACCTCAAAGAAACGGAAACCAAAGAACAAGCCCAAATCCGCCAAGGAGAAGGATGCGACAGACCTCTCGACATCGACCGATGCCGCCGGAACCGAAGGTGATCAGGATATGCTCAGAGATGCCATGAAAAAGGTTTTGAAGGAGGGTGTTCTCAAAAAACGAAAGGGTTCCAAAACAAAACATCTCGGCAAGAAGAGCAAACCGGCGGCTGCCAAAAAGAAGAAGACCGCGGACTCGGCCGCAGCGGCCGCAGGGGAGGAAGCAGGAGAGGATCGAGGAGACAAGCCCAAGAAGAAAAAGGCCAAGAAGGAGGAGGACGAAGCGAAGCCGGATTTGGATATCAAAGAAATCGACCCGAGATATCTCAGGCTCAAGCCCATTGAACTGCGCCAACCTCCGGTACCTACACTAGCATACGGCCTCGATCGCGTACTGTTTAACCCCGGAGTCTCCTATCTTCAGGACCCCCGATCCAAAGTCTACAACCATGACCCCTATCTGTCTCAAATCATGCCCACCCACGAGTTCGACTTCGGTGCGCTCAAGGAGTACATCACATCGTCCAGGGACAAGACACTTATTGGTGTGGCAGCCAAGAAGAAGAAGAAGTACTCTGGATCGACTTCGAGTATGACGGCGACACTTGCACATTTCCATTTCCTTCTGTCTTCCTGGCGTCCGATCAATACAGCCATGTTGTCCAAGCAGTTCGACCCGGAGCAAAGCAGCGAGGACTTCAACAGAATCTTGAGAAGCCCAGCGGCTATTTTCCTGCACCACAAGGACGGAACATATGCTATTGATGCTGACAAGGAGTTTGACTCGGGCAATATTTTGGCCATGCTGGGGAAGTCGATGGAAAAGTTCTTGACCATGCCCAAGGAGGAGTTTGAAAAGTACCGCAAGTCAAAGTCTGATCAGCTCACCGACGAGGAGAAGAATGGCCCAGAATCTTACCATTACACAACGATGGGTGATTTCATGATGCGGTCACAGCTCGACGCTTTCGATCCGCGACTTCCCGGGACGGGCATGTTTGATCTCAAGACCAGAGCCGTTGTCACGATCCGCATGGATCCAGAAGGATACGAAAAGGGCCAAGGCTACGAGATTCGCGGCCGGTTTGGGACCTGGGAGTCGTATGAACGTGAATACTTTGACATGATCCGATCAGCCTTCTTGAAATACTCTCTCCAGGTGCGCATGGGCCGTATGGACGGTATTTTTGTGGCCTATCACAACACTGAGCGCATCTTTGGCTTCCAGTATATCCCTCTTCAGGAAATGGATGTCTCTCTTCACGAGGCAGCGGACACCACCATCGGAGACCAAGAGTTCAAGCTGAGCGTCCATCTGCTCAACCAGGTCCTCGACAAGGTGACTGCAAAGTTCCCGGGGCAAACGTTGCGTATTCACTTCGAGACAGTCAAGCACGCGACCACGCCTCCTTATATGTGTATTTTTGCTCGCCCGGTTACGCAGGAACGGATTGATGAAATTCAGAAGTCTGCCCAGGAGCGCATTCAAAAATTCGAACGGGTTCTCAGGGGTCTGGACCATGAAGCCGAAGAGCAGGTTGAGGGTCAAGAGGAGGTTGAGGATCAAGAGAACGACGAGGGCTTGGTTGACGATACCCGGCCGGAGGAAGATGAAGGGGAAGTGGAATCAGCTGCTGAGCGGACTGAGGAAGACGACGACACCCGTGAGGATGTCTGGGATGATGTCATGCTCAAGGTTGAGCACTCGCTTGAGAACGAAGAGCACGGCGCCACTTCCATTCGGGAATCCATCCAGGACGCCCTGCAGCAGAGCGGCCTTTTGAAGAACACCACTCAAGAGGAGGCTGAGCATTATGTCCAGGCTTTGTTTGAGGTGCTCACAAGCGAGGCCAACAACGAAGCGCCTGAGTCGGAGCTGGCTGAAGAGGGTGAGGATACCGAACCCGACGTTGTGGAAGAGTCTGAGGCGGCGGAGGAAACAGCCCCCGCGGAACCTGCCGTCGTGGAGAACGAAGCCGTGGAGGTCTCGACAGAGGTTGAATCCGCCGAGGAGGGTCAAGAGATCGAAAGCCAAACCTCTCCGGAGAAGCTCAATCTGAAGGATCTCATCCTCAGGCTGGCCTCCCGGTTGCAAGAAGAGTCAGGCGAGACACCCTCCCCAATAGAAGAGGGCGAGGTCACAGGCGAAGAAGACGAAGACGCCGCCAAGCTCGCCCAGTTCGAAAACATCATGTCTGAATTGCTCGTCAAGACGCGCAACTTCCGCAGCATCGACGAAGCCGAGGCCTCAGAAGAAGACCAGGCCGAGGCGACCACCAGAACCGCCGCCACTGACGAGCCGTCCGAAGAGCTAGTCGAGGAGCTTGCCGCCCTCTCCGAAGAGGAGATAGACCCCCCCATCGACAGCGAGTTCACCGAGCCCATCTACGGCCTCATCCTCACGACCAAGAACAAGATTGACGGCAAGTACGTTGACCGGCCTACCGTCACGGTCAAGAACACAAAGTGGACGGTCGAGTACACGATTGAGGAGATGACGGATGACCGGGCGATGAACCTCTACAAGAGGGCCCGCGCTCGCCGGAAGAAGTACCTCATGGGACCCGAGAACCGCAAGAAGGAGTGGTATAGGATGTTTGGCGGGCAGCTGCCCAAGAAGACGGGCGCTGGGCGGTTTTATAGAAAGATGGAGGATAGGATTGCAAAGGAGAGGCCGGTGTTTGTGTATGGGCATGAGACGCCGTATACGTACAATTCGGTGTTTCCTAATATTGCCCAGGGGAACATGGTGCCGTATAAGACTTGGTTTCCCACGGATGATGAGTTGAAGGAGTGGAGCAAGAGCACAGACAAGATGGCTTGGTTGGAGAGGTATAGGGCGGCGCATTTTGCGAAGGGGAAGAAGGCCACTCCGCTGGGGAAGGCTACTCCGCTGGGAATCCCTCGGGGCCCCCCTCGCGGGCCCCCGAAGGGAAGGAAGAAGACTTGGAGGTAGAGAAAAATAGAGGGGGGGTGGGCGTCTAGACAGGTGGGCTGTTGTTCAATAGATATGATCTCCCAAAGAAAAACAAGAAAGGGACGGGGAAAGGGTATGTGGGCGGCGTCGGTGGTGTAAAAAATTTATGCATGGCATACATACCCCAGGAATTTCAAGGGACAAGGGAACGATGGGAGGGGTATATATGGGCGTGTAACTAGTACATTCTGTAACAATACTTGTGTGTGTACTCAAAGACATCATAGGACATTCTCCTGGCTATTTTAGTACATCTCATTATGCCAGCTGTTGTTGAATGTGTCATATCACCTGTGCCTTGGAGCCAAACAGTCGTCAGAAATCGGCCATCTAGTTTTCTCCACAAATAATTACCATTCCCTATCAAGCTCATCACAAAAAACAAGAGCTTATAACACATTTCACTGCCGGACTCAATCGATCACCAAGACCTCTCCCAATGAATCAACGGCAACCCCCACATTTCCCAAAGTCACCACTGAAGGGCAAAGCCAACGGCAGTATAAGCAGCAGTGAACTTGAGGACAAAGTCGGTGAGGGAGCCGATGAGAGAACCACTGTTATTAATACTGTCAGCACCCATCACATCTTAGAGAAAATAAAACTTACATCATCCTCCCCTCTGGTCCTTTACTGGTATACCCCAAGGCAAACAACACCCTGGCAAAAGCCCAGAGGCCGCCGAGGGCGCCGGCAAACTTGGGGTACTGGAGCCCAGAGATGAGGAGGGAGCCGAGGAAGGGGGTGAGGTTCTCGGTGAAGTTGTTGTGGGCGCGCTGGGCGCAGTTGAAGAGGTAGGCCTTGCGGTCCTTTTCGGCGAGGTCGTTGGAGGCGTAGGAGACGGGGTACTTGATGCCCGAGGCCTTGCGGGCTTTGGAGGTGAGGACGGCATGGAGGGTGTTGATGAAGAAGGTGGAGGAGGCGGCGAGGAGGACGTAGCCGTAGTCGGAGGGGAGGGTGAGGGTGATGGGGGCCATTTTTGACTGTGTTGTATTGGTGAGTGTGGTGGAAAGCGAGGTGGGTGAGAGGTGAAGTCGAGGTTGTTGTAGAATGAGGTGAGGTTTTGAGATTGAGATTAGAGGTGGACAGCCAGCGAGCGACCTGAAGATCGAAAGGGCTAGCGGGATGGGTATATAAACACTGCCGATAGTACCCCTACCTACACTGTACCCAAAGAAACTTCTCCTTGCTTCCAAAGAGCAACAAACCGTCAAAACCGTTCGATTTGCCTTGTTCTTTTCAATGCTACATACAACAGTCAAACATTCCCCCCGGATTTATAAGCCTTTACCTACGCAGGTAACACAGACACGCGGTCCCCCATCCGTCCCCTCTCCTCAAGATGCTACGTAAACATCATCAACGCATCACCCATTGCCTGTCCTCTACTACCCCACATTCAAAATCCCCTTTCTGGCTAATTGGTGGTCTTAGCGTCAATCAATTGCACCGTGCACGGAGGTTGCTTTCGCCCGACTTCCGTGTCTCAGCGCCTTGGCCGGTGCAATTGTTCCCATTCCCTTTGTAAAAAGTTTCCGAGGTGATATGGTAGTGGAGGAATTGATGGAAAGGAGTTCGCGGTTGGTGACTACCCGCGGCCGAATTGAAATTTAAAGCCGGGCTGCAGCGGGTGTAACCGCCCCCGCCCGCCAACTGCTGAAGATCATGTACAGTTGCCACCGGCACTTGGCTGTGTGTGTATAAGTCCGCACCACCCAACCAGAGAGCTTACAGTCACGATTAGTACAATCACGCAATTCAACTCTAACCAGACCACCGGTATTCTTTAGACAGTACTGTCATCATCAATTCGTGCACCTCTCCTCCGGCTCCCTCCACTCCAGCCCAACCCCGTTAAACACCCTCCTCTCCGCCGTCAACATATCCGGCGCCGGCTCCCCCGTAACAGGATCACTCTCCAGATCAACCCACGCCCCATCCTTCCTGCTCCTCACCCCAGAGCTATCAAACTTCAACCCCTTCTCCTTCTTACAATACCTCCTCAAATCCCTCTGAAACGTCGTCCCCGACGTCCACCCCAAAACCGCACACCCAGCCGTTTTCCAAGGACTAATAATGATATCCACCCTCCTATGCGGATTGGTATTCCTCCCCTCCCCCTCATAATTTGGATCCTGCCACACAACCAGCGCCTTATCCAAAGTATCAAACCCGCTCCCCGCCACCCTCGAGTCCCCCTTCCAAGCAACCGGTTCCTGTCCCCGTTCCGTATTTGCCGTGCTAAGCAGCAGCGTATGAGTGATATACCCCCTCCTCTCCAACCCAACAACAATCCTCTCCACAAACCCCCTCGTGGCCTCCTCATCCCGATGCGAAAGCACAACATCCACATCCCCCGACTCCTTCTTCCCCCTCCTGTACCCCCCAACAATAACCATCCCAAACCCCTCCTCAATCTTATTCGCCTCCTTCAGTATAACCCCCCCGATCTCCTCCACCTCTCTCCTCGGTATCTTGAGCAAGAACTCGTCATAATACTTCACGCCAATCTGCTGCACCCTTGTCAACCCATCCCACCCATACTCGACCACATCGTCAATGTCCCTCCACCCCTTGTTGTAAAACTCCCTTGCTGTCGTCTCTGCCACGCCCCAGATATCATAAAACAACTTTAGAACCTGAAGCTTGGGGTCGGACTTGTACTCCTCCGCTTCTTTGAGTGTCCCGCTGGTTTTGTACTCTTGGTATAGCAACGCGATCTTTTGGCCGCAGCCGGGGAGCCGGGCGACTTCGTTTTGGGTCTGGAAGGGAAAGGGGTAGGCTGCTACTGTTGCTATGGCAGAGCTGTAGGCGCGGACGCCGATTTTATCCCCAGTCAGGGTGCGCGCGAGGCGGATTTGGAGGAGGAGGGAGATGAATTCTTGGTTTGGGGGGTTGGCTGGGGTGGAGCGTTGACACGAGTAGGTTGTGTGCAGGCAAGGGGGGATGGGGGGGAGGTGGGTGTCTAGGTCGTGTTCAGAGGTTGTCTGCCTTAGTAAGGCAGGGCGTTTGGGGGTTTTGGTGACTGGGTGGGAGGCGTAGGTTGAGCCTGGTTTTTGGGAGGAACCCTGGGAGGAGTATCGCTTTTGAGAGGAAGGAGGTGTACGCGGGTGGGAGTCTTCATGCGCTCGCGTCAAGATGTTGGAGGTGGATTTGGTAGGTGTGGTTTGGACTGAAGCTGGAGCAGGGGGTGGCTGCATGGCTTTGCGGCCGCGGTAGATGGCATATTTGTCGTCTAGAGGGAGGACCTCGCCGGCGGAAAGGGAGTCGGTGAACCAAGATAACTTGGCAACTTTGACGGTTGGTTCGACTTTGGGAACGGAAACTGGTCCTACAAGACGGCGTTGGATCTCCCCTTCTGAGCAGGTGTCAGAGTCGAGATCTGAACTCCCAAGGGCCGGAGTCGCAGACAGTCGGATTCGCTTCCGAGGAGGTGAGGCTGGAGGTGTGCGTTCATCTTTTTCGACTTCTTCAGTGGCAAGCTTGCGCTTTCTCAGCTCAAACAGCGCGCGCTCTTTGCGAGAAATCTTTCCGAGAATGACCTCTGCCTCGTTGATGTCGTAAGTCAGAGTAGGTATTTGCTCTACGAGTTCTTGAAGCTCTTCGGATCCTAGATGACTAGGTAGGAGGAAAATAACGGGAAAATCAAGGTCTGCTGGCATTTTTTGGTATCGCGCAGTTGTGAGAAATATGAGTGATCATCGTGTACTGCGGAGGATACCCAGATAGTACTGTAAGAAGGAGCTTCAAAATGGATATATCCAACAATGGGACATGAGAGCTATGGTTCGGATGAAAGTGGTAGAGTAATTCCAAAGTCGCGAATGGTAGCTCAAAAACTTATGGTGAATATAGTAAATGGCGATGAAGCAACAAGCTCCATGCCCGCTGCGGCTGTATCGCCGAGGGTTCCCTGTCGCTTCAATGACGTGCATGGAGACGGGAGCAGCAGCTCCCGTGCTGGAGTGAAGTTCAGATGGGATGCGACGAATCAAGCGACTCAGCAGCAAAACAAAGAGGAATACGACCGTGCAATTGAAATACTGACACTGTGCTATCGTATTAATATAAAGAAACTCCGTGCGAGCGAATACAAATCTCACACTGTCATCAGTCGAGCGAAAATGGTGACATCACCAAAATCATCAACTCAACGCCCTCAATCTGCCTTACCCCTGAACCCCTGAAACCAAGACCTTCACCAAAAAAGAAATCTTGACGTGACGGGCGAGTAATCACAAACTCTTTGTCCGAGAAAGTGGCTTCTGGATATGCTCAGTCGGGAACTTGAAGTTCTTCATGATGTCCTGCGACCTAGGAGACAACTCGCTCAGGACCAGACTGTCCCCATGCAATTCCACAGGCTCCGGCTCTGCTGGTGGTGCTGGAACCGCCTCCTGCTGCTTCTCAGGTTTCACCTCCGGTGGTAGCTCAATCCGGGGCCTCTCGTGTCCAGCCACAGGTAGTTCTGGATGGGGCTGTTCATGACCCTCCACTGGCAACTCAGGATGTGGCTGCTCATTACCAACCACTGCCAGCTCCTGCCAATGCAGTGACGACAACGTCGGGGGCTTGTCGTAGGCCGTGTGAGAACTGATAGATTGACCCACAACCGTGGATGGCAGTGGCTGTTTCTTGTGTCTGCGCCTGAAGAACAGAAATAACCCGAATACTGCGGCTAGTACGACAACGCCTCCGACTACCCCTCCCACAATGGCAGCCGTATTACTTCTGCGCGCGTAGCTGGCTGGGCTCTCGTCTGGGCTGTTGTCGAAACGGGCGATAGAGAATATGTGTTCGAGTTCCGGTGAGGCGAAGCCTGCTTCTGGCTTGAGGCCCCTAAATAGAAGTGTCAGCGTCAAGCCTCGTACCTCTGGTTGGATTCGGCTTACCTGGTATTGTAGTAATCCTGAACTTCTGGAGCGGGCGCATAAACGGCAGGATTCGCTGTATACGAGGTGTTCCAACCCATGGCATGCATGTCAAATATCGCCAATCCTCGGTGGAAAGGATCAGGGGTGCTGAAAGCACTAATGTAATCGGATATGTTATCTGAGGAGCCGTTCCGCTGCTGGCGTTGTTGTTGTGCGCCTGAGCTGTCAGCTTGTTGTGTTGTGTCAACACCACCGATAATCAAGACTTGACTTCCGCCAACAGGGTTGCAGGTCAGGCCGTGTCGTGGGTTATGTGACGGATAGTCTGCTTTGACCCAATGAAATCCAGGAAGCGTAAGCACAAAGGCACTGTCATAGGACAGCGACGACGACCCATACTGCCCTTCCCAGCCCGCGTAGACCAGCACCTCATAAGTATGATTGTTGGATGCCAGGCCGGCAATGCAGAATTGCTTACGAGGTTGGGGAGTATTGCCGCTCGTCTTTTGTTCAAACCATGTCTGACTCTCTGGGTCGTATACCTGAACTCGCCGAAAAGATATCAACTCGTCGGTCTCGACTCGTCCTCGTCCACCTTGCTCGCCGCCTACATTGATCAAGATTCCGCGATTTCCAAAGTTGGGCACGTAGATCATGCCTCCATACCGTTCCAATCCCCGAGTAGACACGCCAGACACCGTCTGATTTGTGAGTTTGTTAGCGGCAAAATCGTAGGTGTCGAGGTTGCTGAGGGTGGTCTCCTGGCCTGTCTCATTGCTGATGACGCCTACCCAGGAGAGATGTTAGCTACAGCCCTAGATGCTCTCCATTAGACATACCGCCGAGAAAGAAGCCCCGGCCATCGCCACTGCTTGTTTGTCCTTTGTAGGGCCGTGGGAGGTTCACGAAACCGGGGTCGGCAGTATCGTTCAAATTTCTCCAGTCACCCCCGCCTGATCCATTTGGAACGAATGACCACAGGCCCTGTGAGCAGAGCGCTCCATCACCAAAGAAGGGCTCTGTCCCGGCAAACCCCGTGTATAGTACTCCATTCTTCTCGTCGACCCAGATGCCACCGTTTCGCAAGTTTGGGACACCTTCCGGTTTGGAAGACGATTGTATGTCGATCGTATCATTGGGCCAATCCTTCGAAAGATCAATGGATAGCAATGTATTTGCTGCAAGCCGTCAGCTCATAGACGGAGTTCTACAAAATGCACAGGTGGCTTACAGTACTGGTAGACAATGTTTCTTCCGCTCTTGTAGGAGAACTCGCCTCCGTCGATGTACACCCATCCGTTCAACACGGCCGCTGTTTGTATGGCATCGTATCAGCGGGAGCCCAACAACGACTACCCAAGAAACTTGACTTACAGGAATGGAATGCTCTCCTTAAAAACACTTGGTCGTCAACATCGCCATCTGCTTGTCGAGGACCAATTCGATGGCTTAGTGAGATCTTGGCAGTTAGAAGACACCACAGGAACAGAAAAGATTTCGCCGCCATGGCTTGAGGGACAGATGTTCTTCAGAAAGATAAAAGAGGAAGACAGCAGGTGAGGATGACAAGCAGACTGAAGGATACTAGAGAGCAGGAGTCTCTCTGTCTGTCTAATAGCACTGCCATGACTCGAGTTATACCGTTCAACGCTGAAGAACCGGTGGCCGGTGGACGGTTGCTAGACCAGCAGGAGTCGAGGCCTGGAACTGAACAAAAGTCTATGGTCTCCAACTGCAAGGTTCGATGGCGTGGAAGTAGTTCATCGTTAATGGCATTTGCATGATCTGGCGAGAAAAGATCGACAGAGGGCGGAAAACAAGCCTTATTATATTTTGATATGTAGACAAATATTTACTCGAGAATGATGATGTTCAATGAAAGTTGAAGTTGAGTTGACCGATGCCAAGCAATCGCCAAAAATGGCTTGGCACGACAACCTGCCAGGGGTGTCTGCAGCAAGGAATGCAGCTCCAGCCACATGCATGCGCCACAACAGCCAGCATGGACCTGGAACTTGTCCTTTTCCAGTGAGGGGACAACCTCGCCAGAGCTCCAGCAGCTGGCCAAAGCACCACGACTCCCTTATCCGCCGCACTGCTACGATCCCGGCTGCCATCTTGCGCTTCACCATCTCGAGTTGTGATTGCTCGGCGTCGGCATCTCTGAGCTAGCCACAACCCCACCAAGAAGGTATTAAGCCTCCTCCTCTTCGTCATCCAACCCAACTACCTCCCCAACTCTGAATCACCTGTCTGCCTCGCTGTCCAGTTCACCAAGGCCCTGGACTCGCACATGCTGATGCCACCTTTCCTATAGTCCAAGACAAGACCACGTCCTCGACTTCGGCCGCCATCTTCCCAGTCACACAAGTACCTCGACTCTTTCCATCTCCGCAACTCCGTAATTCGACTATCCCCGAACATTAGTGCCATCATGGATTATGAACAACTGAAGGAGTCGTGGGGTGAGGTAGAGGATCGCGATGGAGTTCGGCTGAGTTGGAATGTGTTCCCAAGCACTCGCATGGTTAGTGCACCTGCTCAAGGCAATCTGCCGAGTATTCGGTGGCTAATGTTCAACATAGGAGGCTTCGAGATTAGTCGTCCCCATCGGTGCTCTGTATACCCCTCTGAAGGAGAAGCCCGACACACCTTTGCTGCAGTTTGAGCCTGTCACCTGCAAGCAACCCTGCCGCTCAATTCTCAATCCTTTCTGGTAGGTTAATATGACGTTCTACCCTTGACTATCTGGCCACTTTGCTCACATCTAGGACAGCCAGGTCGACACCCGCGCCCGCCTTTGGATCTGCCCCTTTTGCCTTTCCAGAAACCCCCTCCCGCCGCATTACAAGGATATCACGGCCAATGCCATCCCACCTGAGCTTCATCCCGCCAACACAACTATCGAGTATAGACTTTCACGACCAGCCCCGAGCGCTCCGATTTTCCTCTATGTCGTCGATACGTGCCAGGAGGAGGACAGCTTGGCTGCTCTCAAGGAGTCCCTGATCATGAGTCTGAGCCTTCTCCCTGAGAATGCTCTTGTTGGTTTGATCACCTATGGAACGATGGCCCAGGTTCACGAGATTGGATACACTGAGTGCGCGAAGTCTTACGTTTTCCGCGGCAGCAAGGAGTATGCTGCTAAGCAGGTGCAGGAGATGCTCGGCCTCACCGCCCCTGCCCTTCGCCCTGGCGTGCCTCCTCACCAGCAGACCAGAGCTTTCCCAACCGGTCCCGCCGCCCGCTTCCTCCTCCCTGTCGCCCAGGCCGAATTCCAGTTGACAAAGGCGCTCGAGCAGTTGCAGAAGGACCCATGGCCTGTTGCCAGCGATCGCAGAAACTTGCGCTGCACTGGTGTCGCTCTCTCTGTGGCTGTCGGTCTGCTCGAGACCTCTTTCCAGAATGCTGGCGGCCGTATCATGCTGTTCGCTGGTGGTCCGGCCACGGAGGGCCCCGGGATGGTGGTCGGCCCTGAGCTGAGAGAGCCTATTCGGTCGCATCACGACATTGACCGTGACAACATCAAGTACTACAAGAAGGCGTTGAAGTTCTACGACAACCTCGCTAAGAGGACAGCTCACAACGGCCACACTATCGATATTTTTGCTGGTTGTCTTGATCAGGTTGGTTTGCTGGAGATGAAGGGGCTTTGCAACTCGACCGGCGGGCACATGATCTTGACCGATAGTTTCACATCGTCCATGTTCAAGCAATCCTTCATCCGAATCTTCGAGAAGGACGCCGACGATAACCTCCTGATGGGCTTCAACGCGGTTCTCGAAGTTTTGACTACAAAGGAGCTCAAGGTCACTGGTCTCATTGGCCACGCTGTGTCTCTGAACAAGAAGTCGACTTCGGTGGGTGAGACTGAGTGCGGTATTGGCAATACTTGCTCGTGGAAAATGTGCGGCATTGACCCCAATGCCAGTTACGGTATCTACTTTGAGATTGCTCAGGGCGGCCCCTCGCAACCCCAACAGGCGGCTCAAAGGGGTATGATTCAGTTCCTCACATACTACCAGCACTCGTCTGGTCAGTTCCACCTCCGTGTCACCACCATCGCCCGCGACCTTAGCGGTCCAGCCGGTGATCCGGCGATTGCCCGGTCGTTTGATCAGGAGGCCGCCGCTGTGTTGATGTCCCGTATTGCGGTTTTCAAGGCGGAAACCGATGATGGACCGGATGTCCTCCGCTGGGTCGACAGGATGCTTATCAGACTGTGCTCACGCTTTGCCGACTATCGCAAGGACGACCCTTCGTCTTTCCGCCTCGAGAAGAACTTTACGCTTTACCCACAGTTCATGTTCCACTTGAGGAGAAGTCAGTTCTTGCAAGTGTTCAACAACTCGCCTGATGAGACAGCTTTCTATCGCCATGTTCTTAACCATGAGGACGTTAGCAACTCCCTCATCATGATTCAACCCACACTCGATTCATACACTTTCGACCAGGATGGCGGTCAACCAGTGCTTCTGGACTCGACCTCTATCCAGCCAACACACATTCTCCTCCTCGATACGTTCTTCCACATTCTCATCTTCCACGGTGAAACCATTGCAGAATGGAGAAAGGCGGGTTATCAGGACCAGGAGGGCTACGAGAATTTTGCCGCTCTCCTGGAGGCTCCCAAGGAGGACGCCAGGGTAAGTCAAGATTGCCTGATCTATTCCAACACATTTCATACTGACTCTGGATTAGGACCTCATCACGGATCGTTTCCCTCTCCCACGTTTCATTGTTTGCGACCACGGCGGCTCCCAGGCTCGTTTCCTCCTCTCCAAGCTCAATCCCTCCACCACTCACACATCAGGAGCTGGAGCGTACGGCGGTGTCGGAGCCCAGAGCGCGCAGACCATCTTCACGGACGATGTGTCTCTCCAAACCTTTATGGAGCACTTGATGAAGCTGGCGGTGAGCGGGACAAACTAGTGTGGTTGTTAGAGTGTGAGAGGGTAATTCAGCCCGATCCCGGGATTTACTCATTACTAGAAAGATGGTTTTGTGATTTGTTTAGCGTAGTGTTACGGAATCTATACCAGAGAAAACGGAGTTTTTGGAAACATGTGATGTGCCTTTGATGTTAGTTGAGGCAGGGGTGGAAGCGTTGCACAGTATGTGATCTCGATAATTGAAATATTTCTCAGTATCAAAAGCAGATATTTCCCATTCCTTTGCATGCGCTTTGGTCCATTGAATCGAGCTCGGTTCGTTATCTCCAGAGAGGCTCACTCAGGGGGGAAGCAACCAACTTGCATATCGCCAAGAGGTGGGTCCGTGTGGCTGGAGGGAGCTTCCCCTCCACGAAACTGTGGCTACAACCTTGCAGGCCCCGCCAAACCTCAATCAGCCACACAATCAATTTTCTTAGGGCAGGTCGGCAAAACCCACAACTGCGATTTTTGATTTCGTCGTCTTGATACTTGGCCCGGCCGCACTCACCACGAACACACCCAAGTCCGTCGTCAGATAACCAGCCGACACCATGCGTATGTCAACCCCAACGAATCGACCAAATGAATTAATGCCAGAATACTGACTTTGGGCCATGTGCAGCTCCCAAGGTCGACCCCAACGAGATCAAGGTGATGTAAGAATTATTCCCAGCCGAAAACCGCACCTCGTCTCTCCCCCGCGCCGACAAGGAATTGGAAAACGAACGACAGGAAACTGACGGATATGGTTTTGCAGCACCCTCCGTGCCACCGGTGGTGAGGTCGGTGCCTCTTCGGCTCTTGCCCCCAAGATCGGTCCTCTTGGTCTTTCGCCCAAGAAGGTCGGTGAAGATATCGCGAAGGCTACTGGCGACTGGGTATGAAAAACCACACCACCCCTCCGAGAACCGAAGAACCGAAAGAGAGAGAGAGAGAGAACACGATTTCTGACGAAACATAATTTTTTTGCTGCGAATACAGAAGGGTCTCCGGGTGACCGTCAAGCTCACCATCCAGAACCGTCAAGCCGCCGTTTCCGTCGTCCCTACCGCCTCTTCCCTCATCATCCGCGCCCTCAAGGAGCCCCCCCGTGACCGCAAGAAGGAGAAGAACATCAAGCACAACAAGTCCATCACCCTCGATGAGGTTATCGAGATTGCGAGGACGATGAAGTTCAAGTCCTTCTCCAAGTCCCTCGAGGGCTGCGTTAAGGAGATCCTCGGCACTGCTTTCAGCGTTGGCTGCCAGGTTGACGGCAAGAGCCCCAAGGCCATCAGCGACGCTATCGCCAACGGCGAGATTGACAGTATGTGTGGCCATTCATTCTACGACATTTGGGGGGAGATCTGGACGGTCGATTACGGGTAGAGAGAGGGGATCATTGCTAACAGTTGGTTTTTTTTTTTAGTTCCTGAGGAATAAGCGCGTCGTTTACGATAAAAATTATGGTCGGATTGGGATTCTCTTGGCATGTGATTAGGAGTTCAGGGCTTGCTTTACATCAGGCTTGCCAGACTACGGCAAATCAAATCAAAAGAAGATGATTCGTGGCCGAGCATGGTCTTGCCAGTACATATGTTTTGGCTTTCCGGGGATAGGTGCGAATTGCTTTGCTACTTTTTGGGACGGGGGAAATTACGACACACACACAGAGGACCTTTTTTCCAAAGGAGTTGAGCCCTTTAATGGGTGAACCGCGCCTATCCCGCGTTCCTTTTTTGCCGCTCCCTGATGAAACAGTTCGCCCCGAGATACCCATACCTATACCAAATAACACACCAAGATGATGAAGAAGAAACCAGACCCTGACGTTCGCCCCAAACTTTGACCTTGCTTTCGGTAGGACTTTTGGGTTTCATTATCTTGTTCCGGAAGATTGATATTTGCGTCCCGTCTGATTACTCACTATGGCTTGTTGGAGGGGCGTGTGTAGGCGCTGTGGAAGTCGAGGTCCTTTCTTTGCTGTTGTTTTCTGATGAGTGTGATTGATGTCCAGGGCTGTAAGTAGTAGATACGAGATGATGTCACTGGCATTGAGAGCATGCCTGGTGTGGTGTGTTGCAGGTTCGTGGAGTTTTGTTTCCGGGTGATACGAGGTGAGGGCGCCACCAGCTTCAGAATGTTCGTGTTAGGCCATTTATCATGGTTTCATTTCCAGTTGGGGAAAAACCACTGGTTTGTATGTTGACGATAGCTGGGGGCTTGTTTGTTGGTGGTGGTGGTGGTGGTGCTCTAATGAGAAGAAGTGCTCTGATATGTAGGTGGATTTGATGACTTGATGATGGCTTACTTTGGATAAAGTTAAGGATTCCACTGGCGTGTTTCGGCACGAGTGACTTTTATGTATGGGCTTGGGGGGAGTGGAGGGTGCAGAGTGGAGGACGGGATATGAAATGATCAACATGGCTTTTTCAAAGATGGCGAATGCAAGGTTTAAACTTGCATCGAGGTGTCATGAAAAGGAGAAGTCGAGGGTGTTTCTGTTCATCTATTTCTCTCTTCTAAGGCCTTGGTTTTATACGACGCGGTTCCTAGTTCTCTTTTTGTCCTATGATACGGGTGGGATGGTGTTGCTCTTTCGTGTAGAAAATCGTTAACTTTTTTATTTTAGTTGTCGAAACGATGTTCTCGTGGGATTTGGCAAGGTGTTGGTATGAGTTTTGACTATGGGTTCGAGATGAGTGTGAATAAGCTTGATCTGAATGTCTTCTTGACGCTTGTTCTGACCGTCCAGGGGGGTTTAAGAAGGGGGTTAAGAGGAATTTTGGCTTGGAAATGCCAGCTAGGGATTTGAAGATTGGGTAATGAATGTGTGTCTCTTTTCTCTTGATCATCTTCAAAATGTTGTATTTTTTTCGGCGCCAGGTTCACCGTCAAGGCTCATGGTTCTTCTGTGCCGTGATATAAGCATCTTATTGTTTCACGGGTCTAGCGAGTTTCTTTTGAGCATTTGGAACTTGGGAACCTATCTAAAGGGGATGAGGTTCCGGTGCGGGAGGTTCAAATGTCTGGGTGCGAGCGGTTCGGTTCGGATTTTGATGAAAGGATGAAGGCCAAGAGTGAAGGATACCGAAGGGTTTGAGGCACAGCAGGTCTCATCGTTGGGAGACAAAATTACGTGGCCAGTTCAGTCGTAGGGCTGAGGTTGTACTTGGCTGCCTCAGTTTACATACATGACAATTCAAAGTCTTGAAGAAGACGTGCAGGATAGTTGCAATGATGTTTCTAACAATGGGGGTGGTTTATCGATGATTCAAGTATGTTCGTGGTGTTGAGATGGGATTATGGCATGGCATTGGTCCATACCGAATGGCACAGAAGAGGCGCATGACGAGGCGAGGACACGGGTAACTATGTAAGTAAGATAGGATGGCGCAGCTGGGTGTTGATCAACCGTTTGTTCATGGGGGGTTCCGGTTTCTTTCTTTCGGGCCGGATCCGTTGATTCATGGCTTTGGATTCGAGGAATTGCGGTGGTTGTTTGCTATTCTTTCATGCCTTGGCAGGTAAGGTACATTATGCTAAGTATTTTTTATGCAAGTCACTGTCACTGTTGTGCTTCACAGAGAGGAAGGAGGGTGGGACGGGGTGAGTGACAACGGCTCACGGCAGGAGGGGATATGTTTCAAGGGTCACAGATCAGTGAGTGAATGATGGGCGTTTGGTGTTACCGTGGGGTTGTTGGGTATGTTTAGAATATTGGGGTATCTTTTTGAGGTTGAGTGTGAGAGAGTAGTTAGGTGAGGTTGAAACTCCCAGATTTCCCTTCTGCAGAAACGAGAGACACTCAAGTGCCGCAAGTGCCGCCGGAATATGCGCCGGGTGGCAGTAGGTATGCAGAGCTTTTGCAGGTGACCATCTTTGGTTCAGTGAGGGCGGGTTCAGAATTACCTGATGTTTGGTTCCTCAGCTATGAGAAAGAGTGACCCTCAATCTCAGACAATGTACACCAAAGTAGGTTGCATGATTGGGTTAGGTAGTAATGTACGGAGTCCGGGGGATGAAGAAAGACGGGGGATGGTGTGGTGAGTAAGATGGTTGGGACCTTGGGGTGGTTGGATTGGGTTCTCACCGACTGGTTTCTGGGGATTTTCTGTTCTGACTGATCTCACTCGTTGATGGGTTGGTGTCTTGGCTGTCACTTGTTATCACAGTATAATGCGAGCATGTGTGGTGGGTGATACGGAACCTTACATATAGGGCTATCCTCTGAGCTTCTGCGAGTGAGCAATGGGAATGGAGAGGGTTGGGTGGATGTAACCTAAGCTGGATAGTAGGCCGGTAGGTGAGGTAGGCTGACGGCGTGAAGTATGTGTATAGGATCGAGCATGGCATGAGGGGGCGGGCCAGTTTGGTGACCATTGGGACCCCGATCAGACCCCAAGGGGAAGTCTATTTTGTAAGAAACAAATAGACGCTGAAAACAGTGACAGACCGTAGATGTGATAATGTCTGCCGCGGGTCTTGAGAAGTTTAACCTTGCATGAGGCTTTCCACCAGTCGTCGTTTGAAAAGGGCCATCTGCGGGGTGAATGGTGGGATGGGTTTGGATCTGCCTGTGGTGCTCACACACACCCACCCTAATATTGACACAGCCATGCCACGCAATGCTGCTTGCAACTGCACCCCAAAACTCATGATGAAGCGAGGAGAGCTGTCATATTCTGCGTCGTAGAGCTGGGAGGGGAAAGGAAGACTGGGCCGAGTTTGCCGAGGGAAGAATGAGGGGCACGGGATAGGGATGTTTTCCAGAAAAATGCAAGATTGATACGAAGACGGGCTGTCCAACACACCCACTCACCCAGCCTGATGTGGGAGACGCCCAGAAGTAGGCTCCAGATGAGATGATTGGAGTCTGCATGCTGCGACTCGCATCCATGGGATAGACAACCGACCCTGCCTTTGCCCTGCCCTGACCCTTGCTGCTTGTGTCCACAGGTCCCGCACATGTCCCTCAGGTCAGAGGTTTTCCTTGTGTTGCTGTGCTATTCTGATTCTTCGGGCGGCGGGTGACGGCACATCGCCCGGCGCATAATACTGTGTGTCTCTCTGGTCTCTCTTGTCTCTCTGGTCTCTCTTGTCTCTCTGGTCTCTCTTGTCTCTCTGGTCTCTCTTGTCTCTCGTCTCTCTGGTCTCTCTGGTCTCTCTGGTCTCTTTTGTCAGTCTGTCAGTGATTGAGAGGTATCTGCCTCGTCGAGTCGCACAGCTGGCGTGGCATGGCATTTACTGAGGTGCCTATCAGATGTCGACGGCCATGATGGACCGGGATGAATCAGGTTTATACATGCCTTAGTCGAACCGTCGTAATGAAGCGAACCACACCCAGGGACGCGATCCATGTCCCTCATGTCCCGGAGGGTCACATAGCGTGCCCAGTGGTCTCTGAAGTGCTTCACAGAGCTTGGATGTGCTCGGCCCGCAGCCACTAATAGGGTGCAGCAGCGCCGTGGTGAGGTGACGGTACCTTGTTGGAGGTTGAGGGTGGTGCAGCGCTGGTGCAGTGTAGCAGCAGGGCTCTAGCGTTTCCATGCTACTGCTGCTTGTGTGGGGGGAGGCTTCCCTGCAGAGTTTAGGCCCGAGAACGCCCGCAGGCGCAGGCCCCCGTCGTGCACCAGCCTGAGTAAATGCGGCCCCATTCCACATTTTAGACAAGTGAGATTCCCGCCGACTTCCCTGTCCGTCTGCATTTCAACGTCAGGCCAGTTCCCGTCTCTTTTATTATTTTGAATAGAAGCAGTGCAGGAGAAGAGAGGGGACGATCCTGCTGCCCTGTTAGACCAGAACCCCCCCAATTCATCGCCACCGTCGCCGTTGATCACCGCCGTGCCGGGTCCCGATAATCCGATACTGATCCTGATCCATATCCACCTTCGACTGACAGCCAGGTACCTGACAAGGGCACTTTCATCACGCACCCACGCACGCACCTCCCGGGCCCTCCGTTCTCCTCTTCTATTCCACCACCGACCACTGCCTCCACATCAAACCCCGCCCCGACCTGATCGACTCCGGCTGAGGACACGGCCGTCGCTATTCACGAGCCCGGCGGTGCGGAGACGGGAGCTGTGGTTGACGCTGTTGTGGGCGCTGGAGAGAGTGGATGCGACCGCCCGTCGGACGAAACAAGACAGAATTTTGTGATTATTTTCCTCTGCAGATCCCGGACCGCAGCCGGGCGGAACTGGGGGGATCGGTGGGTTGATTGACTGAGAGGGGACGCAGGTGCATGGTTAAGAGTCTGGGCGAGATCCCAGCATTGCTCTTGTTTCGACCTTGCTGTCCACTCCTCAGATGGAATACCCTTTCCCGGGGGCCATTGTGTGCTCGACAACGTCTTCAACAAAGTCAACAATGCTTTGAGGTATTCACTGGGCAGTAACGAGTCTGGCCTGATTCCCCTCCCCCCCCCCAGCAACAGGCGACCCGCAAACCGAATCTCGACGCTCCTTACTTACTCTATTATCTACACTTCTCTGCGATACAATCTCATCGTCTTTCAGCAGAAGACATCACCAGCATACGTAGTATCGGATTCCACCATGTTACCTCTTGTCCAAATGCACCCGATGGTGCAACCACAGCTCGACTTACTCGGGCCCCATCAACCGCACGTAAAACATGACCTGGAGTACGTGTCGCATCACCAAAGACCACAGTTCGCGCGACCCTCCCCCTCGCTCCACAACACAGACTCAACGCCCCGGGCGTTCGCCATCCGCAGCGCCCAGCCAGCCCCGGCGTTGCACCGCATCACCACCTCGTTCATCCGATCACATGCCCACGACCACAGTTCGGAACACTCACTTAGACGCAAGACACCAAGCGGCACCATCGACAATGGGTACGATGGTTCGGTTGCCCACCTGGCCTCCGGACCCCCACCATTGAAGCACATGATCTTACCTGCCTCGTCAAGAATATTTCCGACTGCTGTGTCTCGGAGAACATCAGGGCTAACTGGGGTTAGCTACCATAGGTCAACACTCTCTGGATCATCATGGCCATATCAGGCACCGAATCCGACTGGGAGGCTCGATGGTGGGATGGAACCATTAAGTAGCCCACCTGTGACGCCTGGAGGATGGGGTATGGGAAGTACGAATATGATAACGAATCCGGCCGCGCCAGAGCAGACAAACTTTCTGCAACCAATACCCCAACAAAGCTACAACTCTGTGTCCAGCTTGCAGCCATTGTTAGGGCCAGGATACCACCAGCCGTTGAGTCAAACAGTCTACAGCCCGGGTGGCTACCAACAACCACAGCAACCACAGCAGTCGATGGTGTGGAGGAATGGTGGACTAGGGGATTATCGAACACCAATACCCCTAGCCAATGGCTACACACCACAAAATGCTGTCGTTGATAGTGCGTTTATGCCCTCGCAGTCGACCATACATGGCATGCCAAACGCACCAGGACTGGGCCAACCACACCCATTCCGCTTGCCATTGTCAAGCTACCCTCTTGATGATGGGTACGCTCGTCATGCTCAGGCACACATGGCGCACCATGGGGCTGCTCATCAGGGTCATGAGTCTCTGGCACAACTAGCTGGACATATTGCCCAAGGGGGCAGTGGCGGAGATGTTGCCTCGAGAGCAAGGTTCAAAGAGCTGGCCCTGCAGCAAGCACATAAAACATACAATGATCTGCTACTTTATCTAGGCAATGCGAAGAAAGCACACCACAGCCGGACCGGATCTTTATCAAGAACGTCATCGAAGATGGTGGTATACCCGAAACCCTCAATAGCACCGTTGGCGAGCGGAACCAAAGTACGACCTTCGCCAGCCCTCTCCGAACCAACAGTCAGCTATGCACAGCACATGGCACAGAAGCAGGCGGCAGCTAGGAGTATGGCAATGGGAGTGCAAGGAATGAATGTTGGAGGCTTCAACCAAGCGAGGAATCTATATTCAACGGGGCTTCAACAACGGCCATACTTTGAGACCGGATCACCACTTCACAATGCGAAAAATTCACTCGAGATGCTCACCAACCTATGTGAGCAAAGTGGATGGAAATGGGTGGATGGTATGCTGTTGGGAGGATGTCTCCACTATGGCCTTGAGCATTATGAAGATGCTCTGGAGTGGTTCAAGCGCATCGTGAGCATGGATGCTAGGTGCGTATTCCCGGTCTGGTCGACCGCGTTAGTTTTACGGGGTGATGCTAACAAACAGGACAGCCACGTCGAGGCTATTTCAAATATTGCTGCGACATTGTACTGCATGAACAGACAGGATGAGGCTGAACGGGAATGGTCTAAAGCGATCAAGCTAAGGCCAAGTTACCTGGAAGCAGTGGAACATTTGGTTGGCTTGCTGTGCTCGAATCATAGGAGTCAGGAGGCAGTCAACATTATCGAGTACATTCAGAAATCGTTGAGGATGTCTGGAACAAACGGAACCGTACATGAAGTTAACGAGACGGCGAGCGAGGCCGACACGGCGTCGACTGCCACGATGCGAGAATTGAGCCCCGACAACTTTGTGCTAGACGACCTCAACAACGACAGCCCGACCCAGCATTTTGCCCGAACTGCAGACAATAGCCACGTTCCAGGTTTTGGGTCAAGCGGATATGCGATAGCTGGGACCGAGAATGGGCGGATGATCCTGCTGATACACGCCAAAGGAAACATGCTGTACTCGTTGAAAAATATCGAACAAGCCTCGGATGCTTTTGAGGAGGCGGTGCTCATCAGCGCTGGAAGACAGGTTCGAGGGGTGCGATCGCTTATCAGAAGGATCCAAACCGTCCTAGCACCGAGGGATATGCATTCAGGGCAGCTTAGGGGTGCTGTTCAGGCGAACCTGTCCGCGCCGTTGCTTCTGTCGCCAGACAGGGCCAAGCTTACCGCACAGCGGGTATTTACTTCGCACGGAGGACTCTTGCCGGGACTACAATATGTTCCCGAAGGTACTCACAAGAAATCCGTGGTTGCCACAACGAGCAATTCATTGTTGTCGCTAGCCAAGATCTTCCAGGACACCATGTCGAATGGTGGGCCAAACACCGGTATGGTCAGACAGCCTGCTGGAGTGGGCGATATTCTGGCGCTCTATTACCTGTCCTTGTCATTGCAGGAAAGTCCGTCAACAGCAAACAACGTCGGCATCTTGCTCGCTAGTGTTCAGCAGACGTCTACCCAAGTTCACTCTGGGCCGCCTATGGACTTGGGGAATCTTCCCGCTATCCCTGGGATCGTACCAGGCAGCGGCTTATCGCTCGCCCTGGCTTACTATTATTATGGCCTTACCCTGGATCCAAAGCATGTGCACCTGCATACCAATCTGGGCAGCTTGCTCAAAGATATCGGACAGCTGGATCTTGCTATTCAGATGTATGAGCAGGCTGTGCAGTGCGATGGAAGCTTCGATATTGCATTGACCAACTTGGCCAATGCTGTCAAGGATAGAGGCAGAATCAGTGATGCCATCGGGTATTACAAGCGAGCTGTATCGGCGAATCCCGATTTTGCTGAGGCTGTTTGCGGGCTGTCCACTGCGCTCAACTCGGTTTGCGACTGGAAGGGTCGTGGTGGTGTTCTGCTGGCAGGTGGCAAGTTTGACCGCTGGCATGTTGACGAGCAAGGGATGCTTCAGGATGTGAAGTCACAAGGCCAAGGCAGTGGGCTGATGAAACGTGTGGTTGACATTGTCGGGCGGCAGCTGAAGGAGTCCAGCACTTGGGGTGTTGGCGCCTTGCAAGATCAGACGATTGTGCAGCTGGTGGCGCAGTTAAGGGATGCCGGAGCTGGGATCACCGACCGAGGTCTGGATGTTGAAACCGAACTTCGAAAATGGGCTGGTCGATCGTGGGAGGGCTCAAGAATCCTGAGGTTGATTGAGCGGTCGACGAGAGCTGCGATGCGGTGCTGGTATGTCGACAAACATGTCAAGGGCATCAAGTCATCAGCTGGATACAGGCGGCCGCGGCCTCCTGCCAGCCTTTCGATTCCATCTGCGCCGACGGTGTTGCCGTTCCACACCTTTACTTGCCCGTTGACAGCCAAGGACATCCGGATGATTTCGCAGAGGAATGCGCTAAGAATATCGTGTTCGACGCTTCGCTCACCTTGGGTCCCAGCTACTGTATATGAACCACCGGAGCCACCAGCCCCTTATTTCAAGGTTGGCTATGTCTCGTCTGATTTCAACAACCACCCCCTGGCACATTTGATGCAATCTGTCTTTGGCTTTCACAATCCCAACAAGGTCAAGGCGTATTGCTATGCAACCACAGCCAGTGACAAGTCGATCCATCGCCAGCAGATTGAGCGTGAAGCGCCCGTCTTCCGTGATGTCAGCACGTGGCCATCAGACAGACTGGTCGAGCAGATTGTGGCTGATGGCATTCATATTCTGGTCAATCTCAATGGGTACACCCGCGGAGCGCGCAATGAGATCTTTGCCGCGCGGCCTGCGCCGATCCAGATGTCGTTCATGGGCTTTGCTGGGACGTTGGGAGCCGAGTGGTGCGATTACCTCCTAGCTGATACGACGGCCATCCCTCCCTCGACACTTCGACCACACCGCAACAATTTAAACCTGGGAGATGTCTTCCGGGATGAGGCCTACACGGAAAGCGAGGACTGGATTTACTCGGAGAACATCATCTTTGCTCGGGACACGTTTTTCTGTTGCGATCACGCGCAATCAGCAGATGGCCACAATGAGAGGCATATGTCCTGGGAGGATGACCAGAAGAGAAGGTGGAGGATGCGGAAGGAGTTGTTCCCCAAGTTACCCGACGATGCTATCATCCTGGGTAACTTCAACCAGTTGTACAAGGTATGCTCACCTCCCTTTTTCATATCATACTCTCCCTAACAAGATTTAGATCGACCCAACAACCTTCCGTACATGGCTCCGCATCCTGGCTTCCTGCCCCAAAGCCCACCTCTGGCTGCTACGATTCCCCGAGCTGGGCGAAACCCACCTCCGCCGCACAGCTAAAGACTGGGCTGGGGAAGCCGTCGCCTCTCGCATTCACTTCACAGACGTGGCACCAAAGCAACAGCATATTTCTCGCGCCCGAGTTTGCGATCTCTTTCTCGACACGCCCGAGTGCAACGCCCACACCACCGCGGCGGACATCCTTTGGTCTAGCACGCCATTGCTCACCCTCCCACGATACGAATACAAGATGTGCTCCCGTATGGCGGCTTCCATCCTCAAGGGTGCGCTTCCAAAGAGCGAGGAAGGGGAGAGAGCAGCGAAGGAACTCATTGCGGAGGATGAGAAGCAATACGAAGAGTTTGCAGTGGGGTTGGTGAATAGGATGGGCTACCAGCTGGTCAGGGGACAGGATGGGGAAGTCTACGGGAGGGGAGAGGGAAGACTGGCGGAGATGAGGAGGTTGCTTTGGGAGAGCAAGTGGGGGTGCGCGCTGTTTGATACCAGGAGATGGGTGAGGGACTTGGAGGAGGCATATGGGCGGGCTTGGAGCGATTGGGTTAACGGAAGGGGAGGGGACATCTATCTTTGAAGGGGCTTTTGTTTAATGTGTGGGCTTTTTTCTTTTTCTTTTGATGCATGGCGATGTGCCTAAATGTTTTTGGATATTGAATTCTGGGCATTGAAATGAAGGGAAAGAAAAGCTAAAAAGCTATTTGGGAATTTGAGTGAATATTTGGGATATGGGACGATAGGAAAGAGATCGTTTTGGGGTATTTGGATTGGAAATTTTGGATGATATGATATCCATTTGGAATTTGTTTGTTTGTTTGCGTGGTTTTGTTTGGTTATTTGTTTCTTTTGGAATTTGCCTGTGTTGGCACTTTGGTCTGTTTGGTTTTCCTCTGAACATAGGATGAAGGGATGTGAGTTGATTTTGTGTTCTGCGTTGTATCCAGTTTTGGGGTGTTCTGATAGAGCGGAGGTTGTTGACCGCGATGGTCTGAAAGGGGTTGAATTTGAGATGCTTGATACCATTTGCGAGCGTTTTGTTTGACTTTTGCTGCTCTATGCTAATAGCTGATATCTGACATTGTGTAGGGATACTACATCGACTTGCCGAGTTCTAGGTTGCTGGCGTTGTCGTTCAACAGATTTGATAAGACTCTTGACACTTTGTTCGCCCGCCGGAACAGAACGTCGTCTTATATGAATGCTACCTCCGCCGTGAAATTACATCAAATCATAGGCGTGGTGGCAGAGTGGTCTAATGCGCAAGACTAGAAATCTTGTTCCTTCGGGAGCGTCTGTTCGAATCAGGCCCACGTCGAAGAATTTCCTTTTGCTGTTTAAACTGGTTGGTTCGGTTTCTTTTTGTTGATTTTGGGTTCAAAAGCACTGCAGAAGTGAAGCTTTTCGTCAAGAAAGTGGCAATCTTCTGAATCTTGATGAGGCAACCCCGAACTTGCTGCCGCCAAAAGCTCAATGTTCGGTGTCAAGTGGGGCAGCAACGGCGCTCCGGCCGAAGCTTGGCACGGGCCCAGCACAAGCCACAGGAAGCTACCCCGCCCTGCTAATGCGGAGCCCTAAATTTTTGCTGCAGGCCACAATTTGTTCAAAAATTCCCTTGCTCGATTTTCCTCTCTCCACCGCCCGCAAATCGCAACGTCCACCCCTCCCCCCAGACTTTTAACCACCACAACCAAGGCGCAGGATATCAACCTCTTTGCGTTCTCCTCACCCCATCCAACTTCCACCGGTCAATCTCTTGAACCTCTCCTCAACAGTCGCAATGGCTCCCATCGCTGTACGTATACTCATGACCAACCTCATCATCACCATCCCCACCTGAAATGACCATCGCTTTGCTGTTGGCCCAGTCCACCATCATTGCAAAAAGATGGGAGATGATGGCGTGAAGCAGTAGGCTAAGTCTTTCTTTTTTGGGATATCACAGAAGAAGTCCACCAAGGGCAAGGGCCCCAAGGTCACCAAGAAGTTCGTCATCAACGCTTCCCAGCCCGCCTCGGACAAGATCTTCGACGTTTCCGCTTTTGAGAAGTTCTTGAACGAGAGGATCAAGGTCGAGGGCCGTGTTGGCAACCTCGGCGAGACCATCAAGATCTCCCAGATTGGCGATGGCAAGATTGAGATCATTGCCCACAATGAGCTTTCTGGCCGTTACCTCAAGTACTTGTAAGTTTTTAAGTTTTTTTTTGTTTTTTTTGCGATAAAAGCCAAAAAAGAAAAGAAAATGAGGACATGTGTGCTGACGGTGCGCACCAAACAGGACCAAGAAGTTCCTTAAGAAGATGCAGCTTCGTGACTGGCTCCGCGTCGTCTCCACCTCTAAGGGAGTGTACGAGCTCAAGTTCTTCAACGTCGTCAACGACGCTGAGGAGGAGGATGACGAGTAAATTGGTGGTCTATCTGTTGAGCGAGGGAGGATATATCCGAAAGGAGTATAATCTGGCAAGACAAGAGATACCAGAACAAAAATGGGATCATTGGTTGTGCATAGCGGTTGGGAGAAACGGGGTCAATGAAAAGTGACAACGCCGCCGTTGCGCGGCCAGGCGTTCTGGCCAAAAACAAGACTTGAAGTTCTGTTGTTTGCTTGTGATGTGTATATGTTGTCTCTATTGCTCTTAAGTCTCATATGCGTCCATATCCATTCCCTTGGGTATATATATATCGTCCAACCCTTCCCTTTTGCCCTCCAACTCTTTGGGTATAATCTATGCAAACATCAATTCTATGAATTTATCTCCGTTTCTTCCCGTCATGCAACACCACACCCCTAATATATCTCTTGTTTCTCACCCTCTATTCTCCCTCCCATAGGCGTCTCCATCTGCAACTACTCCGGCAGCGCCCTCATAACCCCCTCAAACGCCACCAACGCCATCGCATTAGCAGGGAAAGCCCTCAAGAAACAAGGCAAAAACCCCCTCCAATACCCCTTGGGCCCATTCTCTTTGTAAACCGCCCTTGCAGCCTCCCTCCACCTCCTAAACCTCCTCTCCCCATCCCTCAACCCGCCTCCCAACGGGTCCGTCATGATCCTCTGCTTCACCACATCACTCGGGTAACTCATGACCCAAAAGACCTGCGCCGACAACCCCCCCGCCCAGAAATTGATCACCGGCGCAGACCAAGAAGTGTTATTCCTCATCCACCGGCTAAAAACGTCATAACTCCCCCACCAAAAGAAGAAGCACCCTCGGAAGATGAGAGTAGCCCCCAGACCGTGGTATATCCCCCTTATACCGTGGTATTTGTAGATTTTTCGTAGGGCGTCGATTGGCCCGGTGTATAAGCGGTCAGACTTGGAGGAGGAGTATTGTGTTTGGAGACGGGCTTTGATGTGCTCTACGGGGGCGGCGACGAAGGAGACGGTGCAGCCGGAGAGGATACCCGCTAGGCCGTGGGCATAGGTGGGCAGGGGGATTACTGAGGGGGGGAGAAAAGGGTCGTTTGGGGGGTGGTAGGAGGCGAAGAAATTGGTGGAGATGAGGCGACGGTAGAAGGTTAGGGAGCCGAGCATGATGGAGTCCATGAACATCCATCCTACTAAAGGGGGTGTGGCGCCTTTGTAGAGGCCGAAGATGCCTTCGTTGCGGATGGTGGAGGTGAGGCATGCCAGGGGACCGGAGAAGCGGGTGGAAGAAGAGGTTTGGAGGCGGACTTTGATTGTGTCGAAGGGGTGGCCGACTGAGAGGGAGGGTTAGTACAAGCGCGGGGGAGGTCATGTTAGGGAAGGGGGAGAGGTACCGGCTAGCTTGGCGATCCCGGAAAAGACACCCGCGACGAAGCCTTTGTAGTGTTTTGCTGAGGCTTGTTGTTGTTGTGGTGGTGGTGGTGATGTTGACGGGACGGGTTGGAGTGGTAACTCCGGGTTCGGAGGGGGTGCTGGGAGCACCGGGGTGGGTAGTTTGGTCATTTTGAAGTGTCAATTGAAGGAAGAAGAGGTAGAGTGCTCGAGGGGAGGGACCAAAGACTCGAGGACGCCCACGGAAGGGTCATAAAGGAGTGTGGTGCCGTGGTGTTGGAGTCATCTCGAGGTGTGGACTTCGGCGCAGGAAGATGTCGGCACACTCGACACCCCACCTTGCGGCATCGGGGACAGGGGACGAGCTTCGAGTGATGCGCCGGCGGGCAAGCAGGATGACTGGTCTTGGCGGATCTTCGACACTTGTGATTGACGCTCGATGTTTGAGTTGAAATATCACGATCCGTTAACGTTGGAGGTATTTTGGTAGGTATTTAGTTACCATTAATTAGTATTTACAACGGTCGCCTTCATAGACCGCACCCGTGATGTACACTGTTCAACACCAATTCCGGCTCGCAACTCCAACAGGGTATCACACACAGCTTCATTCCAAACAGTCCTTTCCCCCTTCTCCTCATGTTTCCAGGTACCTGATCCAAGACTCTAAACTCAGAACTTCTTTCCCCAAGCCGCTGTACCACCAATGACCTTGCCCAGCACATATCCACCATAGATGCCGACCAGGATAGTTACTGGCCATCTCTGCCAATCTCTGTCCCAGTCCAGAGGAATGGGGACAGCGCCCAGCCAAGCACCAACAAGCGCACCCGCAAGACCTCCAAACGTTTCGTCCAACGGCGCGCGGAAACCACCAACAGCAGCCCAAGCACTAGCATCGACACCATGAACGTAGAAGAGCGGGAAGAGTCCCAGCAGAGACAAGTGGGCGGCGCAGAGAAGCGTATGAGACCCGTGGGTGAGGAAAGGCGCACCGAAAAGAACCATGGAGGCGTAGATGAACGGAGTAACGAGAGCAGTGATGAGGAGCGAGAGGGCGGCGAGCTGTGTCACGACTAGTAGTTAGTACTTGATTCCTCGCAACGAAACGGCAAGCATAACAACATACCACATAGGCATTGTTTCCCCCCTCCTTCGCCCTCTTCTTGCTCGTCTTCTCCCCCGGTCTTGGTTTGGCCTTCTTCGCCGTATCATTCCCTCCGCGCCCAGCGACAGGAAGGCAGATAACGGCATAGACAGCCTGCAGCGCGGCCGTCAATGGCAACGTGGTCGAGGACATGGCCGCTACTGGGTCCTTGACCAGCGAGGAGAACCCAAAGGCGAGGACTCCCGACAACAACAGAGGTTGAGCATGGCGGAGGGTCTGGGCGAGCGGCGTCTGGTTGATGGACACCGGGAGGAGGTTATACGTCTCGGCTGTAGGTGAAGCACTCGATTCGACCGTGACGGTTTGGGACGCAGCGCCCTTCTTGCTGACTGCCGAAGCCATGGTTATAGGGTCTACCAAAGGCATTGACGTGTGTTTGTTACAGCTTGAGGACGAGAGAAAGGGGACAACATTTGCGCGCAGGATGATACAGATACCAGATCCCTGAACAGGAAGGTCGAATCGCAAACAGCTCCAGCCAAACCCGAACCCTGAGACTACGCCTGCCAAGCTCTCTCTCCAACACGCTCGCACGTGAGGACTGAGGACGGACGCACTGACCAAATTGACCAGTAGGTGGGGCAGACTGAAGCGCACAGACATTTTGCACCCGCCGAAGAATTTGCAGGCGTGCACAGACCATCCAGATCGAGTATATATTCAGCGCTCCCCTCCCAAATTTACTTGGTTTCTTTTTTTTCTTCTTTAGCTCTCTTTGCCTTTTGGCTTAGATCAAGTGTAGTATCTGTTCTTTTCAGTTTAATCTCTGAAACTACTCTACGGAGTAGAATCGTGATTATCCTAATTTTTGTCTCTCGGCTGACTTTCCTCTGGGCTTGCCCATGATCGTCGGCCATAGTGTCCCTGGTATTACACTGCCTCCAGGCGACGCGAACCCAACCATCTTTTTCATTGCATTCTTGGGATTATTTCCTGGGATGCGAGGAAGAATTTCCTGTCTTGTGTGTTGGTTGAATTGATGGTGAATTGCTGTCTGAGTCGCTGTTTGTCGACCAATTTTTGATGCTTCCGTCGAGTTATTGCCTGCTGTTGATGATATCCGTGACTAAACTGCGACTCCCATTCCATGGGTTAAATTTTCCCTGCATAGATCCTCTCGTGTCTTCCCATCTCGAATCTGAAATAACCAAGGCCTGACAGCAGTTTGGCATCATTAAAAATCCTTCTCTTGCTAACCAATTGCCCGATAATCCGACCGTGCAGCAACTGTGGTGTGGACATCTCAAAAATTGAACAGTGTGTGTGTGTTTGGCAACCTTTGACACCCAACCTCAACCTCACTCACAACCACCACCACTCTCAATCTCACCCAACGTCAAAATGCCCCCCATGATCGACCCCTCCCTCTTCGACCAAATCAAGTCCAAGATCGAAGAGGACACCACCGTCCGCAAGGAGCTCGAGCAGATTGTCGACGAACTTCACCAGCATGTCTCCTTCACGCAGGGTTTGTTATCCAAGATTCACTCAACCCCGCGGTCAAAGTGTATGTCCCCCCCCACTGCCGGTGTTTTGAGCGTATAGGCTGATAATGTTACCTGAAAGACGCAACCCTCCTCCCCCAAGTAGAAGAGGGCATCAAATCCCAAGTCGCCACCGTAGGCAAGCTCTCAGCGTTTGCATCTCAATATCCTTACTACAAGTACGTCCCCTCCTCCCCCCTTCCCCCCATCCCCGCTCCCCAATGTTTACCATCATCTCCCCAGATACAACCACAAATGGACCCGCCCCCTCCAAGACTCCCTCTCCACCTGCCTCCTCTTCACCTGGCTATCCACCCACACCCTCCTCACCCCCCTCCAGCTGGCCACATACTACTCCGTCCCTTTGAACCTCACCGCCCAAGACGATGCATTCCACATCACCACCGAGGAGTACCTCCTCGCCCTCGTCTCCATAATCGACGACCTCTCCCGCCTGGCGATGAATTCCGTCACGCTCGGCGACACCGCCCTCGCGGTGGAGATCTCCGCCTTCATCAGGGACCTGCACGCCGGGTTCCAGGTCTTGAATCTGAAGAATGACATCCTGAGGAAGAGGGTTGACAGCATCAAGTATGCCGTGAAAAAGGTCGAGGATGTGGTTTATGATTTGAGTTTGAGGGGGTTGATTCCTGCTGCTGGGGCGGAGGACGAAAAGAAGGGGGAGTGAAAAACTCTCATGATAAGAAACGGAATGATCTTTTACATGATCAACAAAGGTGAAAGGTGCTGGGGGCTTGATCAAGAGTTACCATGGATCATCAAAAATATACGTGGCGAGGGCCCGGCTGAAAATGAACAATACAATACTATTTTAGTTACCTCACTCAAGCTTATGGCCCGGCAATTCATGTCTTCATGATGGCCACAGATCAAGCGAAGAGCTAACGCATTACGAGTGGAATATTTTGTAATGCCCATCCCTTATATGTTTCTCCTTAGCATCAAAGGGCGGCCGCCTTATGGCCACATATCAAATCACAGTGATCATCACTGTTGCAAAGATTCATGAGGCATGATGAGTGAAGATCAAGATGTAATTCATATCCCACACATAAAGTCATAACATACAATTCTCAATTCCCATCTCAAGAAACCAGAGCAAATCTCTTCCCTCTTCCTCCCTAATTATCATCCGCAAACAGCAACAGAAACCAAACCAACTCTACCCATCAGATCAAGCAGCAGCCATCATAATCGTCTCATCCACCCCACCACCACCAAATTCCCCTCCTCCACCATCCATCGTCACCAAAAGAAACTAAGTACCATAACCGCCTTATCATTTCCCATCATCATCAATCTTCATTTCCCATCGTCAGACCGAAAAAAAAAAGAGTTGAAAAACGAAAAAAGAGAAAAAAACGGTCATGTCCTCATAAAAGCCTCATGCATTCCTCCTCCGTGTCTTTTGTCTTGTGTTCACCAAATTTGCAAACTTTAACCTCTCGTGAAAAGACGCTTGAAAGCACCACGAATACCGCCCTTCTCTTTGGTCTCGCTCTCCCGCACCTTCTCGCGCTTCTCCTGCCTCTTTGCTCGGTGAGACGCTGACTCGTGCTCGCCAGTGCTGCTGATCGAGGCGGCACCCTTGCTGATGGAAGCCTCGCCGACAGAGGCGGCCGAATCTTTAGTGTCAAGCACATTGGCTGTTGATCTCTTGCTGCTTCTTGGCCGGGGGACCTCCTCGTCACGAACAATCCGATCCTCGGACCTGCGTACTCTAGGCTCGCGATGTTCGCGGTGCTCTCGGCTGCTGGGTCGATAATCGTCGTCACGAGCCAGTCGGTCATCAGACCTCTCTGACCGCTCTGATCTCTCGGACCTGCGAGCCCTGGAGCTGCGACCAGTGCTGGAGCGCTTGAGTTCGGGTGGAAATGTCCTGGAAGCTGAAGGTGGCATGGACACCCCTTCTCTGGAGTTCAAGACGGGCTCCGTCTTCCTGCTGGAAGATGGCACATCAAACTCCACGCTGGCGCGGCTGTGACTATGGCGACGACGGCGGTGCTCAGAGCGTTCAGCGCGGTCACGATCAGAACGATCACGTTCGGAAAGATCACGCTCAGATCGTTGACGGGGTGCTGATCTCTCCTTGACGCGCTCTTCTTTGGCTGGCGAGGTGGGAGAAGCTGGTATCTCCTCCCTGGCCCTCTCGAGTTCACGGAGACGGCGGCGCTCCTCCTTTCGCTTGTCGTGAGCAGCCTGCTCCTCGGGTGTGCGTTGCTTGCGAGGGCTTCGGTGTTCAGGAGGATAGTTGCTGTCTTTGTCTTGTGCGGGAGGAGTGCGAGGGCGCTCATCAGCGCCAAGAGAGCGAGACGAATTGTAGCTCTCGGATCGGTGGCGGCGAGAATAAGAGTGCCGCGAGCCGTCCTTGCTGAGATCTCGATAGTCGTGAGCATCACCAAGGTCACGATCACGGCTTTCAAGATCACGGTAAGAGCGGCTCGAGTGATGGCTACGGCGTCTTCGTCTGCCTTCATCAGTCCTCGACCTGTCTTTGTCTGCTGAGAGGTCAGTCACGAGAGCAGAAATTTCTTGCTCGTCCCTCGATCTGCGCCTCCCTCTTTCTCCATCGGTAAACACTTGCACCTCCTTTCCTTTCCCCTTCACGTCAGAATGCATTTCGGTTAGACCAAGGACATCGGCTCCTGGATTTTCGGTTGTCGGACTTCCTGGCGGGCTGAGAATATCGGCTGTGGCGTACAAGACGACGGCGGCTGCCACCATCTCTTCCGCCTGCTTGATCGTGTTTCTGCGCTGCCGGCGCAAACTGCGCATCCGGCCTAACTCGCGAGCCACAGGGTCATTGAGGTCAGGAAGAATAAGAGCAGGGGTGGGTACACGGAAGTCAACAATGACTTCTTCTCCTTGGGTTTCATCGGGTCCTCGGGATCCTGGAATTGTTGACCTTTGAGTGGTAAGAACGGCATCGTCAGTTATCGTTTCCTTGGGACCAGCAGAAGTAACAGCAATAATAGCAGGCCGCGCGGCAACAATGTCCTCACCATCACTCTTCGCCTCTACACCACCCCTCGCCACCTCTTGGCCGTCCCTCTTGTCCACCATGTGGAAAGATTCAGTGAGCGGAACCGTCTCGCTTACAGCCTCAGAAGACTCGATTGTCGTGTTCTTGGCGCCATCTTGGGGAAGAGAGCGGCTGGAGACCTTGTCCTTGGGTTCGTCATCGAAAATGGCGGCATACGCCTCCAGGCGCTTCACCGCATCACTAGACTCTTTATCCGAAGCTGTGTGGGCAGCCACGGCGGTGGCAGCACCCAAAGCACCTACAACGCCTGCACCAAGGGCGAGTTCCTTAGCAAAAGACTTGCCTTCAGAGGTTTCTTCTTTCTTCGACTCCTCAGTCGAGGTAAGACCCCTGGAAAGAGATTCGGAAGCAGTCTTCTCGGTAGGCAGCGAGAATGATGTGTCAGTTGGCAATGTGTAGGTTGTGTCAGTCGGCAAGGTAAAAGATGTGTCAGTAGGTAGTGGGTAAGTTGTCTGTGTACCGAATGAGAGATTGGTATCTCTAGGATCGTAGTCCGAAACAACGTCATCACGCTCAACCTGGGCCAAAGACTTGGGGAGCGAGCGTTCGGTGACTGGAGCCTCCTCCTTGGTCGCTTCAACGGCGGCAACCCCGAAAGCAGCAGCTCCGGCGGCAGCAGCCACAGGAATGGCAAAGCCGGACACAGACACCTCCTTAGGGGCGTCAGGCTTGGTGGTAGACTCAACATCGGGTTCGGCGGCTTGTTGGGCAGTCACTTCGACGGCAGGCTCCACAACCGTCTCGTTGACGGACTTCTCCTCAACAGCTGCTGCAGGGGCTTCTGTTTCGACTTCACTGGCGACCTGCTTGAGCGAGGCAATGGATTGGTCGATGAGAACCGCTTCCTCTTCGGTTGCCTCCTTGGGGATGGATTCTGCTTCAATCAGGACAAAGTCCTCAGAAGCAGCGTCAGAGATTTGCTCCGGTTCCTGGGCCGGGACGACTACGGGCGCCTCGTTCTCAGCCACGACTGAAGCGGTGTCAATAGCTGACTCCACAGACCTGGCTGAGATCTCCGAAGGAACAGCAGCAGCAGGAACGACGTGCTCAGCATTAACATGTTCCTCGACAGAGACGGGCGGCTCGTCAATGCTGCGTGATTCGCTGACACTAGTGGGCTTGTCAGTCTCGATAGGCTCTTCGGCAGCGGCAATGACAATCTCCTCGGTGGTGGCAGGTTCATCGGCAATAACAGACTTATCGGCAACAGCAACAGGCTCGTCAACTTTGATCGGCTCCTCAGTCTTCTCGGATACTTCAGGCTCATCAACAACAGCCTTCTCGACAGCGGCAGGCTCCTCGATTGAGGCGGCGGTAGCGGCGATAGCAGCAGCAGAAGCAATGCCGGCAGCAACCGCAACAGCAGCAACTGGGCTGTCGGACTTGTCGTTTTCGGCTTGAGCATCGTCGACGGACTGGGCGACCTTGGCATCTGATACTTCAACTGGCTCAACCTCCTCAGTCTTCTCCACAGACTCGACTTCGGGAGCAACCTCCTCCTTCTCCGGAACAGCAACTTCCTCAACCACCGACTTCTCAACTTCTGGGGTGCTGGTGACATCGACGGATTCTTGAACGGCAGGGGTTTCGGTGCTAGACTGTTCGATGATGGGCTGCTCCTTCTCCTCCTCAGACTGCTGAGTGGCTTCCTCCACAGTAATGCTAGCATCATCAGTGACGACAGGAGAGGAGTCTTCAGTGGGCTCCTTGGTCCTAGAGGGGGGTTCTTCCAGAGCTTCTTCAACGTCAGCGGATGGTGTCTTCACCTCTGGCAGGGTGGGCTCTTCGATCTGGGTGCTCTCCACAACTGGTTCGGCCTCGGCGACTGGCGCCGTCTCCGCGTGGGCGATTTCAGGTTCGGGGGCTGCCTCAGTCTCTGGTTTGTCGTCCTTGGCCTCGGGCTCCTGGATGGAAGACGCCGGTTCCTTGGACTCCGCCGCCGCAAGATCCTCGTCCGATGGTGTGACATCAGACTTGTCCTCTTCCACTGTCTTGACAGCCTCCTTGTCGTCCACCGTGACTTCTGTCTCATCGGTCGTCTCCGGGACGACCTCCTTCTCGCCAGGGGTATTATCGATATTAGGTGTGTCAAGGGTATCATTGTTGTGTACAGAAGAAATAGCCGCACTCGCGTCCTGGGTATCATGGGTATCATGGGTAATGGGGGTATCATGGGTATCCGGTTGTTGCAAGTCCGTGTCCGTGTCCTTTGGCTCCGAAATGCATTCTGAAATCTCCTCTCCTGCCAAGCCACCGGGGGTATCAAGCAATACTGGGATTGGGTGTTCCTCACCTGAAGCCTTCTCATCCTTGTTCTCGCTGGGGATTGGCCCAACGGTGTCCTTACTCTCCTCCTGCTCAACCTTCTCGACAGTCTCGGGAAGGGATCTGGCCGCCGCGACAACGGGCTCAGCAACGACCTCCTTGGGTGCTTCGATAGGCGCCTCGACCACGGGTTCAGCGGCAACATCCTTGGGAGCTTCGACGGGAGCTTCGACGACAAGGGATCTCTCGACCACTGGCTCAGGCTGGGACTCTTCCTTGGGTGCCTCGACACTCTCAGCAGCTGGGGCGATAACTTGCTCGACCGGCTCAACAGCGTTGACCTCCTCGACTGGATCAGCCTTGGGCGCTTCAGCAGCTTCAGTCTTGACGTCTTCGACAGCTTCAGCCTTGACCTCTTCTACTGGCGCAGGCTTGGCCTCCTCGACAGGCTCGGGAGTCTTGGTCTCCTCAGCGGGCTCGGCCTTGGCCTCCTCCACAGGTGCGGGAACCTTGGTCTCCTCAACAGCTTCAGTGGCGGTCTCGGCAACTTCAGGCTGAGCCTCTTCGACAATTTCGATCTTGGTCTCCTCAGGCTTGGTCTCAGCGACTTCAACCTTGGCGTCCTCGGTTGAGGCAGGCTTGATCTCTTCAGTAGGCTCGACCTTGGCGACCTCTTCGACAGGAGCAGGAGTCTCCTCGACAATAGCCCTGTCGACAGAAACTGGGGTGCTGTCAACCTCCTCAGTAGAGGCGGGGGCAGCAACTTCGGTTTCAGTCTCAGGCTTGACTTCAGCTGCAGGCTTCAGGGGTAGTCTCCGGGGCCTCCTCGACGGGAGCGGCCTTCTCCTCAACGGTCTCGGCAGCCTTGGCGGATTCTTCGACAGCTGGAACAGCCTCAGCAACGGAAGCACTCTCAGCTTGAACAGCGGCCGACTCTTCCTCGGTCTTCTCCACAACTGGAGTCGACTTGTCAGCTTCTTCGGCAGCCTTATCAGCTGGCTCAGAAAAAGTCGCAGCAACAGTGTCGGCTACAGAAGTGGCAGCCTCAGCAACAGTCTCGGTGGCGGCAGCAACGGTTCCGGCAACAGCAGCAACAGTCCCGGCAACACCAACCTGCTCCTTGAGCTCGGCGACGGTCTCGTCAGTAGACTCGGCAGCCTTCTCAGCTTCGGGCTCGGCAGCCTTCTCGGCGACAGGCTCGGCGACAGGCTCATCGGCAGCTTCGGTAACCTTCTCCCCAACTGGTTCGACAGCCTTCTCAGCAACCGGCTCAGCAGACTTCTCCTCAACGGGTTCGGTGACCTTCTCAGGAGTAGACTCGACGACAGTCTCCTCAGCAGGCTCGGCAGCAGGCTCGGCAGCAGGCTCAGCAGTCTTCTCGACAGCAGGCTCAGCAGCGACCCCCTCCTTGGCCTCCTCGGGCTTGGCAGGCTCCTCAGCAGTCTCGGGCTCGGGCTTGTCCTCAGTGACTGGCGCATCTTCCTTGGCGGCAGATTCCCTACAGCATATCGTTAGCCTTTGAATGCAACTGATAACGCGACAACCGCATAAACTTACTCAACTGCGGGCTTCTCCTCCTTGACTGTCTCCTCCGGAGCGGGAGCGGCGGCGACCTCAGCGTAGGACTCCTCCTTGACCTCGGGCTCCTCCTGCTTGGAGTCCTCGACGGAAGTTGGCTCAGCTTCTTCCTTCACCTCAGAAGTAGGCTCCGCGGCAGGCACATCCTTCGCCTCCTCTACTGGCGCTGGGGTGAGCTCCTCCTTGGCCTCAACAACGGGCTCAGGAGCAGACTCCTCAACCTGAGCCTCCGTGGCTTCGACCGCGGGCTCATCCTTTGTCTCGGTGGCGGTTTCCTCCTTGGTCTCGACAGCAGCCGCGGCGACTTCAGCATAAGACTCCTCCTTGGTCTCAACCGCTGGCTCATCCTTAGCCTCAACGGCAGGTTCCTCCTTGGTTTCAACGGCAGGCTCCTCCTTGGTTTCAGCAACCGGGGGCTCAGGAGCAGACTCCTTAGTCTTAGGGGCTGGCTCTGGGGCATCCTCCTCTTTAGCTTCAACAGCAGGCTCAGGAACAGACTCCTCCTTGGTCTCGGGTACTGGCTCCTCCTTGGCCTCAACGGCAGGCTCAGGGGCAGTCTCCTTGACCTCAGCCACTGGCTCATCCTTGGACTCAGCAACTGTCTCAGTGGTGGTGTCCTCCTTTGCCTCAGCAGCGGGCTCATCCTTGGTCTCGGGAGCAGGCTCTTGCTTGGCTTCGACAGCTGGCTCCTCCTCGGTCTCAGGGACAGTCTCCTCCTTGGTCTCAGGAGTAGCCTCCTTGGCCTCGGCGGCGGGCTCAGCAGCGGCAACTTCAGCGTAAGATACATCCTTGTCCTCCACAGTTATCTCTGCAGCAGGCTCATCCTTGGGCTCCTCGACCACCTCGGTCTTGGGCTCAGCAACAGCTTCCTTCTTGGCTTCGGGGGCAGCGTCGTCCTTGGTCTCGGGTACGGCATCCGTGACTTCTGGGACAGCCTCAGTCTTAGCCTCAGGGGCGGCCTCTTCCTTGGTCTCAGCGGTAGGTTGTTCAACCTCAGCAACAGGCTCGTCTTTCTCGTCAGAGGTGGACTGCTCCTTGGTCTCAGCAGCAACATCCTCCTTGGCTTCAGGCACAGCCTCAACAGGGGCTTCGTCCTTGGCCTCTGCGGGGGCGCCGACGACGGGCTCCTCCTTGACCTCAGCAGTAGGCTCCACAACAGCCTCTTCCTTGGTCTCTGTGGCAGTCTCCTCCTTGACTTCAAGGGTGGCCTCAACGGCAGGCTTGGGAGTGGCCTCCTCATTAGCATCAGGAGCAGCCTCCTCCTTCGCCTCGGGAATGTCCGCAATCTTGACATCAGCCTCCTCAGTCTTGATTTCGACAGCCTCTTCCTTGACCTCGGGAGTCTCGTCCTTAACCTCAGCGGCAGCCTCCTCCTTGACCTCAGGAGCGGCTTCCTCCTTCGCCTCAGGGATATCCTCAGTCTTGACCTCAACCTCTTCAGTCTTGATCTCGGGGGTACCCTCCTCCTTAACTTCAGGGGCAGCTGCAGCGGCTTCCTCGTTGACTTCGGAAGCGGGCTCCTCCTTCACCTCGGGAGCAGCCTCAGCCTTGACCTCGGTCTCGGGGGCAACCTCCTCCTTGACGTCAGGGGTGGCCTCCTCCTTGGTCTCAACAGCAGTCTCTTCCTTGGCGACCTCGGCAACTGGTTCATCCTTGGACTCTGTGACAAGCTCGGCGACAGTAGGTTCCTCCTTCGCTTCGGCAACTGACTCAGCGACAGCAGGCTCCTCCTTGGCCTCGCTAACTGGCTCGGCAGCAGCGGCCTCCTCCTTAGCCTCAGGGACTGGTTCGGCAACTGGCTCCTCCTTAGCTTGAGTGGCGGGTTCCTCCTTGGTCTCAGGAGTAGGCTCAACCTCTGGCTCGGCAGTCTTCTCAGACTCAGCAGGCTTGACGTCCTCAGCAGGTGTTGACTGCTCAACAGGCGTAGGCTCTGGGGTGGCGTCGGCAACAGGGGCGGATTCCTCCTCGGTCTTCTCAGCCTCGTTAGCTGGCTCCTCAACCTTGAACGCCCCAACCTCCTTGGTCTCCTCTTGAGGCTTCTCAGCCTCAGGCTCAGACTTGAGATCAATGACAACGGGGGCAGCACCCTCAGTAACATCTGGGGCCGCAACCTCAGCGAAGGACTTTTCGGCTTCGACCACTGTCTCGGCAGCAGGCGCCTCCGCGACGTCCTCAGACTTGGACTCGGCAGCTGGCTCCTCCTTCACCTCAGCGGCAGCCTCTGCTGGCGTGGGGTCAGCAGCAGGTGTGGAGGCAGCCTCCTCGGCAGCTTCTGGCTCAGGGGCGGGCGTTGAGGACGCAGCATCTTCGACCTTCTCTACTGGAGCAGCAGCTTCAGCGGCGGGAGCATCATCTTCTGTGGGCTTTTCCTCCTCCTTGACCTCGGGTGTGGCGACCTCAGCAGCGGGAGCTTCAGTCTCCTTGGTCCCAGTCACCTCGGCGACAGGCGTTGGCTCAGCAGCAGCAGCAGGGGCACTGGTTTCCTCAACCTTCTCCTCAGTCCTGGGCTCCTCGTTCTGCTTGCTCTCAGCAGCAAGGGCCTCGAGACTGCGTTCCTTGACCTCCTTAACCTTGGGTTGCTCTTCAGTCGCAGGGGCTTCTGATGTTGGCTCGGCGGCAGCGGGGGCAAGAGAGTCAGAAGATGTAGCAGGTGTCGAATCGACGCTGCTCTTGTTCTTCTTCTTTTTCTTCTTGTTCTTCTTCTTGGCGGCCGAAGCCTCCCCCTCGGCTTCCTCCTTGGCCTCCGTTGTCGGCTCCGGCGTCGGCTCCGCGGCTGGTGTCGGCACAGTTTCGGCTTCGGGTTGTGGCTCGGCTTCCTTCTCGGCTTCCTTCTCAGCCTCCTTGGCTGCCTTCTTCTTCGCTGCCTTCTTCTTGTTCTTCTTGGCGTTCTTTGAGAGAGGGGCTGATGATGGCTCTGAGTTGGTGAGAGAGGCTATCGAGTCCCTGGGATTATGCTGGTGGGTGAAATCGCCATTGCCTGATGTGGTGTGTATCAGCAGACATGTCACATGTGTAGCAGGATTGGGACCATGTTGGAGAAAACTCACCCTCAATCTCTTGATCGTCCATCTCACTCTCGGATACTTGGAGGTACTTCACATCTCCATATTTGGCTTCCTGTATTTGGCTAAAGTCGGCATACTGAACTTGATCATAATCATAGTCGCTTTGGGCCCAATGAAGGGTGGTCCTAGCTGGACTAAACTCGACATCTTGAGGGAGACTCATACTTGTGGGACATCTACCTCTGCCTTGTCGGAGGAAATCTCGACGGACATGACCTGAGGGGCTCTCTTATTATTCTCCATGCAGACGGACTTGTGGCCTGGTTACGGCTCGGCTGGTTCTGGCTCGTGGTATATCGGAAGGCTGCAGATTGGGTGCCCAAAGTGAGAAAAAGGTGGGGCTTTCGTGCTGCGTGGTGGCCGTGTGCCGTGCAGTCTGGCTGGACGATGTCGGGGACGGGCCTGCTTTCTGGAGGGGTTGTTTAATGTATGTCGTGTGCTGGAATATGCACAGTCGGCAGAGGGGGGGTGGTGTGTGACGGGCTGTGGTTGGCCGCGACTCTGATCAGACCGAGAGAGGAAGTCTCGCTCGTAGGTAGGGTGGGTGATATGAGAGAGATGTGAGGCAGACGGGAAAGAGAGAGAGAGGAAAAAGTAAACAAGACGACGGTGAAGATCGGATCACTGTTTTTTTGGTCGGTTTTGTTGTGTTGGGCAACAAGAGAGGAGAGAGAAAGAAAACAAAGCCTCGGTCTGAAGCAGGAAGGCAAGAAAGGCGAAAAGATGCAAAATTCTTGCCTTGACCTTGTCGAGAATTCTCCAGTTGATGGGAGCACCCTGGTGCAAACAGACGAGAGTGAGGGGCAGGTGCGTAAAAAGATGGGTGCGTCTGAGTCTTGGCAAGAACATTTCAAACCCATCACAACCCCACGCAAGAGGTCAATTCGGCTGGTCTTTTCGCTCAAGTGACTGCATTGAACCGCAGACATTGGCCCACCGACCTGCAGTGGCGCCACGTCGAATGGATACTACTCGCTGGAATAGAGCATATCACCTCGAACCAACCTTCCCTCTTCATCATGATATCTTCTACAAGGAGGCAAATCACGCAAGCTACCAGTGTAGCACAGTCCCAAGATTGGCCAAATCTCATGGGGATCCGCAGCTCATTACATAGGCCATCACGGTAATGACTGACTGACTGAACATCAGATGAAGAAGCCACCCATATAAAATGAGGCATGGCCAAAGAACAATGAGCGTTATTGGGGTGATATTGGGCTTCAACAACCACCATCCCCTTATTCACTCCATCCCGATCCTCCCGGCTTGACACCTCTTCTGTTCCTGTCCCTGAACCACACATACGCACCCCTCAAAGTGTGGCAGCTGGTGGGGTGGTGAGCATGGCAGAGACGGGAGTCCCAGTGACAACCCTTCACCCCTCCAAACCGCGGGGAGCCCCAAGTATTTCGAACTTTCTTTCGCAGATCCAGAAAAAGCGCCAAAGGGTCTACCCGTGTGGCCGCCGTAGGTGTGTGATGGTGAAAAAGAATGGAAAGGTGTGGTGTCACTGGCGTGCTACGTGGTTATCTGCCTGTGGAAGAACCGCCATCTCTACCTCCTTGCCGCGGCTGGCCCGCCCTTCTTTTTGTTGTGTGGGGGATCCACAGATGCCAACGCATCAGCCAAAGAAATTTTTGGTTCGTTCTGATTCGCATGGCCTTCATGGCAAATGTCGCACTTGATTTGCTTCGATATTCTCATGAAATGGATCGAAGACCTCACAGGGCTACACAATGAGGGAAATATCAAATCGCCCAACGATGCTGGCGAACGTCAACGGCGAGGGGGTCGTCTGGTAGGCGTTGACATTCGTGGTTCGCTGTAGGATGCTAGTTATTGGACACCCTTGTCCATGTTCCCTGCTAACATTTGATAGAGGAACGTTGGAATTGGTCCATCTTTTGTACCCCGGCCCGGCTGCCGCATGCAAGGGTCGTCGGCCGTCTCGGTCTGTGCTTCGATATTCACACCTGTCTCTGCTGATATCTCTGGTTTACGAATGGTGATTGCTATTCTGGAATAATTCATGGCTGGAAACATTGTCAAACCAAGCAGATATGTAGCGAGAATCATGCAATATCATTCCCGGTCCCCGATTCAAGACTCAAACCGCCCAACCCCGCGTTCAGCTTCAATAGCCTCAAGGGCATCCATGTCAATATCAAAAAACCCAACCTCCCCGCGGTAACATGGTCTCCCTCTAGCGCCCGAAAGACCAAGAAACAAAGCTTGTGATGATCGCCGAGGACGATAACCTCCAATGCTTCGCGGGGCATCTGTGAATGATCTTGAAGATGATGGAAGAGCGCCATGTAAAATAAACTCAACTCAACACCCTATCTATCTATCGTATCTACCCCAAGCGCTTCCAGTTACCTCCCCCTCAAATCTCTTCATCTTGCCTGATAACCATCAAACACCTCTTCCGACACCCCAGAAAGGTGGCAATCATAACCACAACCCCTCATCTTCAATATCCTCTCCATCCGCCAGAACCGTCGCAGAATCAACTCTCGGGTCCTGGGTCCCAAAGCCAAGACATCAAAATCCAACGATAACAAAAAAGCGGTGAGATCAACCCCTCATCGGTAAGGCTGTTCTCATGCATTAGACCCGTGATGAAATGCCCCACGGTTACCAGCATCTCGTGATGGGGAAATCTGTAAACAAAAGCAGACCAGGTGATGCCATCATGAATTCTTCTTGGCCTGGGCGTGGGGAAAGGCTGAACCCGCGAGGCTGGGAACCCAGTCTCCAAGTCTCCAAACGCCAAGTGGGACATGATCTCCCAAAAGTGAAGGATTTCAACAAAGCTTCATGCATGCAGCTTCTCCCTCCCCTATGTAGGTATGTTATGCAGTGCATCTGCCCTAGGAAGATTCCACGTGTGTGTATGTGTATGGAGCGTGCTGTGGTTGTGCTGTGTGAAGATATGTCTCCTATGCGACCCTCCCATTACCTACATCAAAATCCGTAAAACCTCAAAAACGCCAGTGCCATCGATCGCAACGAAAAACCAAACTCCAGGGACCGTCGTAAAGATGATATGATATCAAAAGCAAATCCACTTGTCTTCGTCCTTGGTCTCCCCCCTACCCGTCACACCAACTGCTCACTGTTGGAAGCCCTCCATACCGAATACAATGAGAAAAGAAGTCGGTGCCTCGTGTATTCATCCCCCACGTCATATAGTGTTATACAGCATGTCATCATGCCAAACCCGAGACTTACATGGCCATCTCGGCCTTGAGTCTGTTGAGTTCCGCCTCTTCGTCGTCTTCGACCGCGGGCGCCTTGCCCTTGTTGTTCTTGACTGCAAGGGGGTGTTAGCGATGCAGGATTCATGCTTCAAGCTTACCAGTCAACTTACGTTCTCCGGTCGCCACGCTCGGCAGACGATCTGCGTGTACTGTGCCAGTCTCGAGCATCTTGTCCTCCAGATCCTTGGCCATGAGCTCGTCCAGCTCCGCATCCAATTCTCCGTCGTCGATGGACTGGCCAATGTTGACCGAGCCGATGGCAGCCGCGATTTCCTCGTTGAGCTGATTGTGCTCTTGGAGTTTTTCCCTATATCCACCATCAGTACCATCGCACAAAAATAGAAACCAAACTTTCGGTACGTACATGGCCTCGTCGACCTTCTCGGGCGTGAGCTTGCCGTGTATTGACTTCATGGCTTCGCTGGCTCTCTGCATCGCTTCGAACGTCTCCTTGTTGATGTTGGCAGACTCGATGGCATTAATCTGGATTTCGAGGGTTTCGATGTGGTTCATTGTCTTTTCGAGGTTGCCCTCATAGACCTTCTTGCGTCGCAGGGCATTCTTGGCCGCTATCACACGAGCCGTCAGCGTCTGCCAGCTGGGCGATAAGCAAACAAAGCGCAGATAAAGGACTTACCAGTCTTGTTAGTGTTTACATGCTTCCTGGCCTCCTTCTCCTGCTCCTCGATCTGGCGGAGAATGTGGGCTTCCCTTTTCTGCAGCATCTCCAGGTTTGTCCGCAGATCCAGAATGACATTCTTGGGGGTATCCTTCCGCTTCTGCGCGGCACCACCACCGAACCAGCCCCAGATGCCCGACATGACTGATTATCGCGAGTGAGAGATCGAAAAATCTAAGTATCTGGGATGGGATTCTCTGTGCGATGGAGGTGCAAAATAGCAAACGCGGTTGTGGACGAGTAGGTTTGAGTTTCGGTGTTGAGCGAGGGTCGGTGCAGGTGATCAAGTTTGCCGATGACGCCTCAGCAACGTTTGGCGGGGTCACAGCCTAACGCCAGGCACCTCGCTTTCTCTCGAGACAGGGTCTGAAACGGAGCAAGTGAACGCGCAAGAACCAACGTAGGACTTGACAAGAAGAAGCGCTGCGTAGGATTATCGCTGGTTAGGGTGACGAATGCACAGTGAGGAGTTGTCTCTGGCCAGAACAAGGCTGCCTATCGAGATGCTTCCAGTGATGCAAGGCATTCCAACAATGTGACTGGCGATTGCGGCACGCGGATGCAAAGGCCACCCCCATCCCGGACTTTACCCGGAGGTATCATGTGATCTTATCAGTCTGGGTGACTAAGCAGTCTCATGCTATCGTCCCATTCATCGACGTGAAGGCAGGAGTTTCTTGACAGTGCAATACTGCGGTATGAGTTCTCGTTGAAAGCAGAAGATTCTTTTGCCGTCAAATCTAATTCAAGAATGAACTATACACACTCTTTTTGGCTCACAACATGTCTTTCGGTCCGCTTCCCTCCCAACTGTGTCTGCTCTCCTCCCTGTCCCAAAAAGATATTGGTGATAAAGTGAGGTTCCTGGGATGGTGAGTGCTCTTGAAACTTGTCACCTTCAAATTTCAAGGAATGAAGCTGACGGTGCTCCAGTGTAACATCCTATTCCACCGAGTCTGGCGTTTTGACCTTGCAATACAGAGGGTCTGAGGACAGACAACTCACTTTCGCCTCGGTCGATGTCAACCTCGTTCTGCAGAGTCTCAAGGCGGAACAAACACGCGTTGGCGAATGGGTGAATGTCATCGGATATGTCACCTCGACCGACAGCAAAAAGCTAGGCGACACGAATCCGGTGGTTGAGGTCCAAGCAACACTTCTTTGGTCGGCTGGTCCCCTCAACCTGGAAAAATACGAAGCGTCTGTACAGGCATTGGACGGTGAGGAGAGTTGAGTTAACGCCTAACAAGTGCCTCTCTCAGGACTCACTCATCGACTTTTGCGCACCCGCTGTTCGCAATTGTGGTGATATTTCCCGAGCTCACGATTACAGCCATTTCCGAATATTGTCCGCCACATGCTACCCTCTTCGTGCCAGTACAACACTGATCAACAATATCAGACGGCGGCGCCGACACTGTGCTACAGCATATGTCGTAGGACGAGGTCTACTGGGAACTTACTGTCCGGAACTGGGGCCGGAATGACCGCAATGACGGCTGTGGATGCCTTCAAACCTGCATACGGCGCCGCTCTGCTCATCATTTGCTAATGCTTGACGATGCATGGGCTCTAATGAACTATGGGATCTGCACAAATCGGTTGCCTTGTGGTAACTGCTTCGGATTGGCTCGATGGAGGTCCCGGGCGATTGGACGTGTGAACGACCACACGGCTGCCATAAACGTCTCTTGGTGCGCACCGCAACACCGCACAACAGAAGTCACAACATATCGCCTACGTTGTCTCAGGCGACTTTCATCGGGTCCCAGATGCACGAGGAAAACAAGCAATATTCCAATTGGAACGAGTGGAGGCTTTCGAATTTGGGCTAGCTCTCTCGGTTGCAGAATCCGACGCGCATCATGCACTGCAGTTATCCGCCGAAGATAGGAAAACGCCGTTCCATTGCCAGATGGCACAATATTGCTGGTCGACCAAATACTCTACAACCACCATAACACAACAATCGATATGGCACATGCACCTCAAACCGCCAACTTCAGTCACTCTGCTTCACCATTCGCCCCTCGTGGCTTGCTTCCCCACGTTCCACATTGATCCCTCTGCTACTGTCCCCTCATCAGGCATCCGAAACGATCTGAACCAAGCTACCTCGTGCCCGATAGTGGGTATCCCCCAAACTCTCATCGTCTGTCATCCCGATGGCTTCTGGGCTTTCTCCGTCTACTGGACGATTCACTGGTGCCGCCCGACTTCCCGAGTGATACAGGTGCGTGAAGAGGTCGCTTGAGGGATTTGCTCGAACTGCCGGCTGCTCGCGCTGCTGCCTGTTTCTCCCACAGCTGCTTCGACTTGACGCATATGTCGTCTATTTGCTCCTGGGGGCATTGTCAACGTTGGGGCTCGATCGGAGCTCTGGTGTGGAATCGGCGGCTCACATCTGACAGGCAAGGTCCTGGTGTGGTGATCAAGAAGCCATCTTCACCCTGAAAGTTTGCACTCGTCAGCCTGTCGCAAACCTCACGGAAGGGCATTTTTCACACCTCTCGAGTAAAAGGCCTCACGCTCGCGTCGGGTCCGAGGTAATACTGAAGCTCCTGAGTGATGACCTTTTTGTGGATATCCAGATTGGGAATCCAGTATCTGTTCATCGATTCAGGCGGCGAAGACGACATTTTGGGCGACGGGAAATAATGATAATGTTGGGAAAAGGTACTGAGCTCCCTGTCATCGTCATTGTCAAAGCAACGGGAACTCTGGTGTCCTTATATGCCTGTGTTGAACCAAGGTCCTTGGCTGAGGTGGTCAGTTGAAGCACGGTTACGGTCGAGGAGGCTTGAGAAGAATGTCACTAAGTACAGTACCGCTTCCATCCTAGTGTTCTTCTTGGTTCTAGCCATTCAGGGACATCCTTCTACAGGCTCGTGGAAGGCACAGTATTGCATGTACGGAATCTCCAAGGTGCCATTCTACTGGTTGCCCAGAGCTTGACCTCGTCCGCCTCACTTTTTTCTCGCCTCGTCTCACGCCAAAACCACCACACACTTGCCCTTGAGCAGTTTTTCCTCGGTATTCTGCCTCCTCCAGAAACACACATTGTGTTTCATTTGAATTAGTCCATATGATTCCGGGTCGGAGGGTGCCCATTTCAGCGCCATCATACCAGGCGCTATGTCACCCTTGCTCTCATTCACGGGGCCCAGTGTCACGGATTGTCTGCAGCCCTATCAGCTTCGCAGTAGCTCAACCGACAAACGACACTGCGGTAATTGTGTATCATCGTCAGGTGCCGCCCGGCGGCAGAATCTCCCGGATGTCTCTTTTAGTTTCTGCACGAAATGCGATCTGCTGATCCGTCTCCCTGGTTCTTCGGAAAGATTGCCACACCCGGTTCTCGTGGCTCAAACCATGCTCTTGGCCCATGGCTTGTGGGTGCATCGAGGTGATCTTCTCGTTTCATCGCAGAGGTTATCGTCCACATCGACTTAGCGTTTGAGGCTGTCTGTTGATCCGGCGATAGGTTGCAATGAAGCTCGCCTTGTCCTCAAACCTCTGATCAGTGCTTCGGTCTAGAGCTTGTATCTCGGTGTTCATTTACGGCCGATCTTCTGTTTGATCCATGGTATTAATGTTCATGATATGCCTTTTCTTGGTCATTGGCTTTTGTTTGGTTACTTATGCCGGGCGTGGATGCATGTTGTCAATAGCATTCGTATTACTGGATTACGGGCAGCCGTTCCTACATTAGCTGGTCAGCGCTCGGCGGGATTCCAGCCCCATATCACCTCGCAGAGAACCACAGCAGCAGCACTTTCATCTTAAGCCTCAATGGACTTGACACAAACTGGGTGATACATCCCGGGTGGTGGAGCTCAGGATGTCTTCAAAATATCACTGTATCCGCTCGCCGAAGTTTTGATCTCTCATGTTGATATTTGATCAGCTTTTTTAGCTCTGAGAGTAAATACGAGGAGGCTACACCGCCCGACATCTTTCTGCTTCTGGGCAAGCAACTCCAGTAGGCTGCTGAAACTGACAGCAGAGCCGCGTCATTGTTCCCTCATAAACCTCATGAAAGAGATCTCTGAACCGATATTGGTTCCCTCCTTGGGCTTATTCCAACGAACATGAAGACATGTCTTTGGACAATTTCCTGCACAATGGAAGGATTCCTGGAACAAAAGGCTGGGATTGGTTGGCCAGCCGCAAGCTGGCTGGCTGGCTGGCTGGCTGGCTGACTGTAGGTATGATTGTACGCACATTGCATGGTGCATTGCATTGAGACAACAACCACTCACTTCCTGGGATCAGATGTGTGACTGGAAGGGAATATCAAGCCAAGGCGCATTTTTAGGGGCAGGATGAGGAATAACATGGGGGGGTTTGTGGATTGGGTTAGGCGAGCCGGATCCTGCGTATGTAATGGGCTTGCGTTAGGAGGGTATTGATCTGACGTATGTAGGATTGTGGGTTTTGGTTGTGGTGGGAATGTATGTTACGTATAGACCGGTCGAATATGTACCTATATTGCATAGGTGTGGGAAAGGGATTGATGAGAGCCAAAGTGGCGATAACTAGTTGAGATACGTGGTTCGAATGCTGGTGTTTTACTTACTTCTCCTTACTTGCACCTTAAACTGTGTTTTCAGGCTTATTTTTCTTTTTCGATGAGGAATCTTACATGAAGCTACCTACTGTGACAAAGAATATGTGGGGGGGGGAGGGGGGTTGAACTGTAGGGGGGTGATGTAGTCCATCAATTGCCGTATAGAGGAGCTCACGAGGGGAGGGATCTTGGGCGTGGGTGTGGATTTTGCCACTGTCAGCTCACCTGAGCTTGAGGAATAAAACAACACATCGTGCATTGCTTCATGTCTGGCGACAACAATGCTGGGGGGTGAAGCAAGGCTTTCTGAAGATCAGGGAGATGAGGAGGGAGTAGGGCGGGTGATCCGTCGATCTGTGGATCTTTGATCGGTTTTGGGATCTAAAGTAACAACACCCCTTGTTTGTATCGGGCACAGGTGCTGGGTTAGGGGTGAAATATGCTGCATGGCTTGACTGCGAATAGCCACATCCACAGGCCTAGGTATACAGCCTTGTTTAATGTCTGGTTTTGAGGAGGAGGATGCTATTGTTCGGGCATGATGGTTGAGGCTTGGATCTGGATATGGGGGGCGATATCGCCAGCGAAGAGTGTGAAGATGAAGGAAGTAGCATCTTGTGATGAGATGTTGGGAGTGTGCAGCTTGATGGATCAAACATACCTAGGTAGGTGACCGGTTGTATCTTCTCTGATGTCAAATGTGAAGATTTGTATGTTTGCCGAACTTATTGTTATTGTCATGGTTGTTTTACCTTGCGGTTGCTTGAAGTGGCTGGGCAAACACAACAACAGATACGATCATTAATCATGAAAGTCTGTCCACATTTACTCACCTCATCTACCTGGTAGGCATTAGACCTCTACGCATACTGCCAGAACAGAACCTGTACAGTAGCCTCCATATACACATGATATCAGACCGATCTTCCCCATGATCTCGTAGAACTCAAGATCCCAGACATCATAAGGTACAGCCCCGTCTGCCCGCAATTGCCATATCTGATGCTTCCGGTCTTTGAGAAGGAGCGGGAGCCTTTACTGGCATCATCGTTCTTTCCTCATAGGTATTTGTCCACTATTGCCGACCGGCTGAAAATGGAAAACGTCGGCCTACCGGTGAAAAGGATGTACCTGCCAGTTGAAGTCGAATCATCGCACGGTCAGCCAAACTCTGTTTGCCCTTTGTCTTTTGAAATTTAGGTTACCTGCTGCTGGAAACTTGCATCCCAACTGAACTCTTCTTCCTCTTCCTCGTCTCAACTTTTTTGAGGTCGGAATTGCGTAACAAACTTATTCTTTATACTCTTCCTTCTCTTCCACACATGTTCGTTATGCTCTCCATCATCATCATCATCCTCCTCCTCATCCTCCTGATCCTCCTCCTCCTCCTCTGCCTCCTCCTCTACCTATACGGTCACGGTGTTGTCATCTAACACCATGGACGAGATGGAGAAGCCAGAGGAGTCGAAGTTTATCTGCCAAACCTGCAAGGCTTCGTTCGATGACAAGCAGACGATGATCAATCACTGGAAGACGGAGTATGCGAAGGGAAACAGACACTACTTCTGGTTTGTCTATGGCTTCTTGTTTTCCCCGTTTGTCCCTAACCTCTTTCTCTCAACAGCGAGAAATGTATGATGATGTTCCGCACCGAGGGTGCTGCCGAGATGCACTACAAGCAGGTAAGGACTCTGGTGACTGCCCGCGTTACTCTTAGCTAAGTCCTAGATACAGTTCCATCAGATTGACCAGAAAATGGTTTGCCCCGGTTGCAAAGCCACCCTTGTTCGCATGAGCGGCTTCGTGGATCACATCGAAAAGAACCGATGCAACACAATCTCCAATGAGAGATTCCACGAGGAGCGAGAGAAAGCCTTGAGATTTGCCCGCCAGCTTCAGATGGTGCCTGGTCAACATGAGAACAAGGTTGCCACTTTCACCGCTTGGAGTGGCAGTAACAAGGGTCCTGCCCATTACACCCAGTATCTTTCCACAACGGAGGACGAGACCGCGGGCGACACCCTCTCCTCTCTCCGTCCTCTGGTTGACAGCAGCCACAAGCCGGATCCCGTCACCTTCCAGATGATGTCGCTGGGTCAGAAGGGCGATTTGCTGACTGGGCCGGGGAGCGACCATCCGGAACAGTCAAGTGAGGCTGGGGACATTAAGGTGCTCTTCCCGAGCTACACTGGTCCTGCCACCACCCCCGCTGTTGCTCCTGCGCGTCGCGCCCCCGCGCAAGCTCAAGATTGGCGAGAGCCTGAGAAGAGACCGGTCTATGACAGACACGATCCTCGCAACCCCAATTGGGACCCCAAACAGTACTATAACCAGTATACCAGAAAGTACGGGTGTCCGAGGGACAGGTGCATGTATGTCTCGTCAAAACGGCCCAATTTAATAAGCTTATGTAGTGACGCTTTGTTTAGCAAGGCGTTCCCCACCAGCAATGGTCTCCGAAACCACATTCTAACACATCCGACCACTGGTTTCCAAGTGCAGTGCCCAGTGTGTTCCAAATGGTTCGACACAAACGCAGCACTGGCCCAGCACGCTGAGTCCGAGGGTAGCAAGTGCAAGATCCGCAAGTCGGAAGACTACGCCCGCTTTATGGGCCAGTTTACGGCTGGTATGGTGGATACAAAGATGGGGTCGGCGGGTATGACTGTGTATACTGTGTCTGCCCAGGCCAAGAAGACCTTCGGTAACAAGAAGGATGATGAGGAGGACAAGGGTGTTGATGGTTGGGGCGAGGAGAAGACCGAGGAGAAAGCTGAGAAGAAGAATGATGCTTTGGAGGGTCAGTGGTGATCTCGTTAAGTGGGTTGATGGCTGTGAGGGGGCTCGCCGGTGAGTTTTATTGTTTGGCTTTGACTGAGAAAGACGTTTGCGTTGATTGGGTTTGGCTCTACAGTTGATCTTGGGATGCATGCTTGAGACTCGGGGAGGAGTGCTTATGATCTCATTAGGTCTATTAGCTACTATCATCGGTAGCTATGCATAGCGAAGGCTCATAGATGATATTCTTAGATGTACGTAGTGCCTCAAGGCAATGCAGCGAGACTTTACTCAATTACTATGTACTTTGAGTCTAGTAACTCCCACCAGGTTATGTTAGTGCTGCCGTGATGAATATCTCCATCTTGTAGTTGTCCATGGCAACATGTCTATCACCAGTACAATTGTTTCAGCTCAATCACGGCAATAATAGACCCGTAA